GGAGAGAGCAGAGTGGATATAATTACTGGTTAAAGAGGTTAAAAGGGCGATGGGAGGAGAAAAAAAAAAAAAGGGAAGCAACAGTAACCTATCCAAATCAAGACAGGCAGAAACAAACATGTATGACAAACCACTGTTCAACTCCACCTTAAAACAACATTTATGTTATGGCCAGGCACACCACTGACTGCCTGCTAAACAGGCTGTTAAAGTGGCTTGTGGCCAAGTAGCTCCTACATGTTATGGAAATATGGATTTAATGTTTGCAAATATGGTCTCGTCAGGTCTTTGTGTACCCATCCATCAGCCTCAGACCCACCTCTGCAATCTTGGAGGCAATTTGTCTGAGAAGAGGTGGGCGGCAGAGAGCCCTCCTCACTGTTTAGCAGGCCCTGATGAAATATCAAAACACACAGCAGTGCAAGCAAGCTCTCTAGTCTCACCACAACAAACACAAGTGGCCGGGGTCTGTCGAGACGTGTGCCATGGTAATAAATTACAGCACAGATTTTTTTTTTTTTTTTTTAAGTGATATTTCTTAGGAGTTGAAGAATAAATGGCCGTCAGTTTAGATTAGTGCGAGCGAGGCCTGACATTATTGACATTTAAAACCCGGCGTCAAATCTTAAAGCTGCTGAATTAATATTTTTGTATTAACAAAGGGGTCACATTAATAGGTTTATGGGAAATGGGTCATCTGTATTGACAGACTCGCAGAGAATTATTACCTGACCCTGCATTTCTTCTGAACCTCTGGAGCATTTTTAGCATCTTTAATCTTAATGTTTTGGTTTTCTGGCAAATTTGCTGTTTTCAGTGTCGTTTTCAGCAGAAAGAAAAACTCACTGTACGATACCTGCCCAAACCCCAAATAGCAGAGAAAGTTAAGCGAAGTTAGCAACCAGCTGATGAACTCTTAGTGGAGGATTTATAGCGACTAAAGAGCCAGGTATCTCCCTCAGGAGATGGTGGAGACCAAAAACATAGCTGAAAGAGGAGTGAATATTGGACGGGTGGCCAGAAACATAACTCCAAATAAATATTAGTGTTGCTCCACATTTGCTGGATGTATATGTTTACCAATAAGTCTTAAATGGTGATGTTGTCAATGTTGTGTTCACAGTTTGCTTCTGCTATGCCAAGTGGCCAAAACCATTTAATGCCAGTTTATAGCTGATGAAACTTGGCTTCAAATCATCAGAATTTCTCTATTTGTTTCAATAATGAACTGTCATCAGATTCTGATTCAAATGTTGCTAAATATTGATTTGTGCAAAGATATATTGCATTACTTTTTTTTGTTCTGACTAAGATTCATCCACTTAAAACCGGTAAGAAGAGCACAGAGACTTGAGGAAATACACAAATCCCTCATGTGAAACAACCTAAACTGTTCGAGCCTTTGCACAACTGATCTAGCTGATTGAGAAAATACGTTTTCATGGCCTTTAAGCTGTGCATTGAGGCTCGATGTCAAGCCAGCACCTTGGGAGGAAGAGAAAAAGTAAAGAGAAACCAGGTGATAAAGCACAAACAATGCCAGCCAACAGAGAGAGGAAGGGAATGAAGATATGCTGAGACAAGATTAGCAGGAAATAAGAAGTGGATTAGTAAGGGCTTGACTCCTCTGAACACTGAGACCTTTCACTTTTCCCCACAGTGTTGTGCTGCCTGACACTAAGCCCGGCTCTTTATCTTAATCCTCTTTCAGCAACTGTTGGGGGTCCCACAAGCAGGAAGTGGAGAGGTTGCTTTACTTACCTCAAGACAGGCCTGGTTGAGTTCTCTGGGTCACATTAACAGGACTGAGTCTGCACCAGTGAGGTTGAATTTCTCCACGTGGTTCGTTGAGGGAACATACATGCAAAAGGGAAGAACATGAAATGGCAGTGCTTGCTGAAATGATTGTGAGGCTTTTAATTTGAAAGAGAGTCTCACCTCCTCTGTTAGGCTTCAGCAGGTCAGGTAGGCCTACAAAAAGCGTCAGGAGCGTGATGGATGATGAATGAACAACACGTACACAAGACAAATGTGTCGATTTCCCTAAATCCAGGGAAGGCTACATCGTTTTATTTGAGTGTTTATTAATAGGTCAACAGTCAGCCAAGCATCCAAGCATACAACAAGTTACTCTTTAGCTTTTGCTTTGTTTCACGTTCTGAACGTAAAGGAATTACAATAGGAAAATTAACTTGGAACAAAAATAAAACAGAACCAAAAAAAAAAAAAGATATTTACATACTGCATTATAAATATGTCAAATGTACATCATTATACACAAGTACCAAAGATGGTCGGTTAATGTTGAGACCAAACAAAAGTACCTTAAAAATATGCCTAAAGAGAAACAAAAACAACATATCAAAATATGGTTCATGGGTCAAGAGGACCAAAAAACGAGTTCAGTTTGTTTCTCTAGGAGGAGCTTGTCTTCAGATAAAAGCATTAAGCTAATATGTACACTTCATGTTGTGGGGGGGGGGGGCAGTTTCTAGTTTTTTTCTGCATCTACAGTATGTAAATAAAGGTTCAGTAATCACTGTACACATTAAACTCTCAGTTATCTCCTCCTACACTGAAATGAACTTAAAAAAATAAGTTGGTCAAGTAAAGATCAGAAATAAGGCCAGTACCAGAATACAGTACAGAGAAATTTGAAGGTAAATGGTTGAATTTGTGGTTGGTTGTGTGATGCCTTAAGAGGATAGCTTGACATTTTGGGATACATGTGTATCTGCTTTCTGAGAGTTCGATGAGAAGACTGACAACATTCTCGTGTGTGTGTTTAGTACCCAACCAGAGCTGTTAGAGGCAGTTAGCTTAGTTTAGCTAGCATAAAGTCTGGAAGCATGGGGAAAACACTTCAACATGCTCCTCTAAAGCTAACACAATAACACAACATATCTTGTTTGCTTAATGCATACAAGAACAGAAATATAAAAAATGAGAATTTGTGTTTTTAGAGGCAACTACATGGTGCTTTGCTACGCCAGACTACCTGTTATGGGCTAGGCTAAATGCCTCCCGGCTCCAGCACTGTACCTAATGTACGGACGTGAGTGGCGTATCGATCTTATCATTTAACTCTTGGCAAGACATACAGCATATTTCCCAAAATGTTAAACTTTTCCTTTAACATTTAGCTTTCTCCTGGATTCACAAATGTCCATTTTTTACCAGATTAATTTTCATTTTCTGTAGAAAACAAACAAACAAAAAATCCGTAAAGCAACAACAAAATGGTATTTAAGGTACCAAGTTAATAACTTGCTCTGTAAACTTACATCCTGCCTTTGTAAACTTATAAAATCAAGACGGTTTAAAACCTTAAAAATGGCAGTTGAATTAATGGGAAAATACACTGTAGACATTGTGCCAACTCCACCTGAAATTATTTCTTGCCCAAGTCCTATTTACTAAATGAATGGGCTTATCATCTCTGTGGAATACTGTACATTTGTATTAATGCAAAGAGAGTCAAACTAATTATACTTCCCTCTATGAACCTCCTTGCTTATTTGAATCCCTAAATGTCACACTCATTTCACTCACTTGAATGCATTTCGTTAACTCCCTGCTTTTAGGCTGACAGGTTCTCAGGATTGGGGAGGGCACATTGGGTTAAGGAAAAGGAAATGGTTGTTTTTTTTTAATGGACTCTAAAAGTCAGAGTAACTTCTTATAAGGAATAAGGTGAAGGAACAAGAACTACTTTTTACAGAGGTCTGTACATTAAAACACAGTTATGTTCCCAAATCTTCACTGTAAGGTGTTTGTCTTCTCTCCAGTGTCCTTTCTCCAATGTTCATGAACAGAAATGCCCAGTCGCTCTCTGCTGCACACGGTCACAGACGAAGACGTAAGCACACACGTATCGTACAGTATGTACGGACGTACACACACAGTACCATATATGTATTTCACAGCAACAATAGAGGAAATGCACTCGAGGGTACCAGTTTTACAGCCACAGGAGGTGAATGGATATTCCAGTATGCTTATGGTTTGAAATCGTGTGAATCTATGTCAAACAATTATCAACACAATCTAGTCAATCGGAAAATTACTCCAACAAAGACATCATGATGGTACAATTCCACTATTTCAATCAAACCCTTGAATTTGAATGAATTCTGATTGAAGAGGCACACTTACAAAGCCATGTGGCTCGAGGGTCATAAAACATTATGCCCCTTAATTCCTTTACAGTCGTGGACATTTTTACTGGAGGATCATGATAAGGGTGGTGAAGGAAATGACTCACTTTCACCCCATAGGAATTCTGCAATCAGCTCCTTTTGGATGTTCCGAATCCATTTTCCTGTGAATTAAGTATCTAAATCATTTGAACTTCTCAACTATAATTGCTTTGCCTTTGTATATGAATAGTATGTCAAGAGTTTGATAGCTGTGTTGAAGACATGCATCATTACTAAAGCTGTAACAGCCACTGATATCATGGAAGATTTAGTTTCTTTCCCACATCAGTGTTTTGTCACTTCGAAAACTATTCCTCACAGTTTTGTGTTATTATGCCTTGGCTTGAAAATTTGAAAGAAGTTTCTCATTCACGCTCATTATAAAATCAGTTCACACCGCAGAGGGGGGAAGACATAAAAAGGAAATGTTCAAGCATTAAGGAAATGCTTTTCGTAGGGTAGGTATGAATGCCAAAGTAAGTCATTTGTTTGGTTGACGCTTAAAAAACATAAAGCTTAAAGCTGATCATGATCATTTCAGACCAAGATTGAATGAATTTAACTAACAAAACAATTAAAAAATAATAATATAAAACAAACAATGTACAATGTCCGAACCCCACACACCCACTTCTTTCAGCATAGTGGAATATCAACAATGAGTCCGTCACTCCTGATATCTCTCCATTGGTACTGATTCTGGGTTACACAGTGTGAAACAGAGGAGGAAGTACTGGGAAGAGACAAGGGTGGGTGCAGGTTTTCTTTTTTTTTTTTTTTTTTCTTTTCCAATGTCCGTCTGCGGCTGCTCTCTGGCTCCTACATGATGCTGATACTGCGGTTGAGCTCACACTGGGCGTTGTTGTTGTTGATGTTGGGGTTGGGGTTTGGGTTGCGGCGGCTCATGTTGGGCGTGGGCACCGAGGTCAAGGTGCTCGTATCGTTGGGGCAACCGTGCTGAAGTAAGATGTCTGCACACTCCTGGCTGCCAGCTCGCCGAGCGTAGGACAGCGGTGTCTGACCACGAGCATCCCGACTCTTCACATCCACACCGTACTGTAGCAGAAAACCAAAGGTTGAAAAGTTAGAGCGGACAGATTTAGATTTCACAAAGTTTTTTTTTATCAGTATTTGTTTTCTATTATTAAAAACAGGCAAAAATTGGAATTAAAACTTAGTTCTATTAAAAGCAATGTTACCATGATTTTCTCTTTACATTATCCTTTTCCATTAGATTTGGAAAAATAAAGATTTTTACCACATAGTATGATAATACAACATGCTCAGTGTAGTCTGTATCTGCCTGTGCCAACACTGCATTAGAACTGCAGTATGTTTTTGATGCTTAAGTTTGTGAAATATTGAAACCCTTTATGGCCCAACCATAACATGACTCATTATAAATTACACACATTACATGACAATTAGCTATATTTCAGCCTTCTGTATTTTTTCTGGGAGTTTTTCTTTGGAGTTTTCCACGAAGTTGAAACTAAAAAAAACATACAAATTTGGGGTATTTAGGCCAATTCTATTATTTTCAGACTCAGTATATCTAAATTTGACTACTTTCTAAACAAAGGATTCTGAATTTCTCCACAAGACTTTTACTTCGAGCAGGTTAAAGAGATAAATCAATAAAATGTAAATGGTAAAGCTACACGAGTCTGTGATTTCCTAATCATTTCATTGGAAGTTTGTCGGAAAGATCTAAGTAATCTGGTACTAATTTTAAGGAAAATAGAGACAAATGTCTGTGACATTTATTTTAGTTAGTTAATTAAAACATTTAGACACTTTCTTTTGCATTATGTGGGATGACTTGGATCTATAACCTCAGTATTTCTAAAATCCTGGCTACAGACCTGCCCTGTTTATAATGAAGGGCTGGCACATCTGGCAAGATTAAAGAGGTTAACTAGCTGTTGGGCAATCTTTCCTTTCACACTAGCTCACGTGCCCAAATATAAATGCAAACAATAACAATGTTCATCCACCTCTGACTGTTCCCTGCAGAGTCAGAGGAGGCCACTCACCCAGATGAGTAGCTGTGTGATGACCACGTTCGCCATGGCACAGGATAGGTGCAGAGCGGTGCGTCCGTCTCCGTCCCCGTAGGTCTCGTTAACCTCCTCCTTGGTGCCGTGGGCCAACAGCACCACCACCAACCTCAGGTCATCCTCCACCACCGCCCGAAGCAGCTGCTGCCCCAGGGGCACGTCCGACTGGGGCAGCCCCACCACGAACAGCTTCTGCTCATACTTGGCTCGGATCCAGCGCTCCTTCTCCTCCCTGGAGAGAAGGAAATGACAGGGACGCTATAGTTCAGGCCGGGTAAAACATGATGAACGCGCTATGTGCAATTTAGCACCTAAGTTAGAGAACTTCCAATGCATATCTCATAATTCGGAGGCAGTGATTTAAAGGCAAATACACGTATAAAAGGAAGAATGTAGACACACGAGGGAAACATTACAGTAATTGGCCTAAGAGACTCACTGGTGAGAAGTGACATTTCTAAATTATTAGAGCACAGGAAAGCCACTAGCCTCTACTATCGCAGTGGGAAATAATACAGTGAGATGGGCTGCAGAGATGAGAGAATGCCAAAGGGTGTGACGCTTTGGGCAATATTCCACTTTCTAGTGATTACAGTCGACAGCAAGACGGTTAGAGCCTGGCCAGCTTTCTAAAGGTTACATATCTCGAACAGCATGTCTGCTGCGGACAATACAGGAAGGAGGGGGACTTTTTTTTTTTTTTTATCAGCGCTGTCGGCTGTCAGTCTGAACTGATGGATCCCCTCCACAAAAGAGGCAGTGTGTCTCCGGGCCCCAGTATCCCTTGGGGTGGCTGGGCCCTGAGTCAGATCGATGGGGCTGAATGGCAGCCAGAGAGGGACGGCGGGATGCGGGGCTCCTTCCCTCCAGCCTGCAGCAGAGAATAGAGACTGAGGGAAGACTCCATCCTCTATTGCAAAGCAGAATTCTATCTATTGCTCTCCATCTTGACCCCCGTTTCTTTCTCTGCCCACATACAAACTGTCCAAATAAGAAAGAAAAAAAAAAAAAAAAAAAAAAAAAAAAAAAAAAAAAATCAATATCAATACGTGAATGACTGAGCATGCCCAGTGTGGCACTAACCCTGTGACCCTGTCAGCCGGTGTGATAAGGGGAGCAGAAAGAGGCTGTTGTTTGGATTTGTGGGTGAGTGACAGAGAGGAGAAGGTTCGTACGGATAAGTTAAAGCGGCGACGCTAGCTAGAGTGACAAGGCTCTCATGGGATTCTCTATCAACGGGCAGAGGCTCAGCAGCAAGTACTAACTGACAATCTAATTCACTTCAATTCTATTTCATCATAATCACAGCAAAAACAAACTCAAACAGTACAACTTAATTAACCTTTTAGATGAGCAATGGGACATCACATGTACACATTAAACTGTTCATTTATCATCATGTATTAAAGGGTTGTTTCACCCAAATTACAAAAGTAGTATTGTGCCATGCAGATATATTTGGTTTTATTTGCCCAGGTTTTGAATGCAATTGTGTTTGTGGTACTTTGAAATATCAGAATTCTGTTATTCTATGTTTTTCTTATTGCCCGCAAACCAGCCTCACACCCTCTGGTTTCTATTGAAGTTTAGTAGTTTTATCCAGATTTTACTCTAATAAGAGTAAGAAGTCTATTTGTCTGGGACTATTTTCAGCAGCGGATTAATACACATTTGAAACACTAGTGAATTTACAGCTGTATGTCAAAATAAATTACTGTGCGTCATATTAACGGAACATATCTTATCTTAGCTTAGTTTAGCTGGAAATACTTTGTATTGAAGTAATCTGCATGGCTTAACACCATGGGAGGTAAGTAAGAATTTTTTTTTATATGGGTCCAAACAGTCCTTTAAGTATATCCCCAAATAATTTTTCAATTTTCAATTAACAGCAGCCATTTTAACAACTGTGACCAGTTCAGAATTAGTCACTCTCCTTGATTACGACCTTAGCGGCTAGGTGTCAGGGCTGCCAACTCGCCACAGACAGCAACCGTTTTCAGACTCATATGTCAGCTGCCAGACTCACTTCACAGAGCAGTTCGTCTTACACAGAGGAGCCTGGCACCGGCCCTAACTACAGGAGTTAAGGATGTGAAGCCTTTATCAGCGAACCAAGCACAAACTGATTAACTGCAAAACACAACTGGAAGCTCATAAAGCAACTTCACCCACAACCTAAAATTGTCTTAAAGCTATTGATTCTATAAGCAGACGGGAACATTTTTGTTATGGCCTGGAGGAAAATGTGGAGGAGAAAGTCTGTTACCCTGCTCCACCATAAGCAAATCTTTTCTTAAGGGTGAGGGTATTATGTGAACAACAATACAGCCCTAATGGCAGGCAATTGCAGTGGCTCAGAGTTTTATGGTGTAAGACCTCCATCAATCCCTACTCAGTCATTATGTGTGGACAAGCCTGTTAGCAAATCAATTGGCCTTAGAACCAGTGGACTGCTCAGAGCAGGAAGGGGCTGTCCTGCCCTCCCCTCTTATTTCCGGTGAACCCTTTGAAAACAAGTCTTTTTCTTTGCCAAAGAGGATAAAGTATGTCTGAAAACACTACAGCCAATGAAGTCATCCTCGCCGCAAAATCTACAACCTTTCACAAAAAATTTCGAAGCATGTTTAAAAAAAAAAAAAAAAAAAAAAAAAAAAAACCCAAACAAATCAATCGCTAAGAGCTGTTGTCCAAAAGTTTGTTTCAGAAAGCTACACCATGAATGAGATGCTGAATCTGTAGAGCCCAGTGAATTGATATGAGCTAAATGAGGCAGAAAGTTAGCACCAAGATGTGAAACAAAAAGGCTGAGGAGAGCCATTAAGAAGACGTCAACGTCTCAGAAAGGAGCCCTGAGGACACTTTGTTAGCCTCTGCTACAAAACCAGCCCTGGAAACCTGCAGGAAAAGGCCTCACTCACTGCTGATGCTGAGCTCTAAATTCAACCACGGTTCTTTTTTAGATGGTCCACTTTAACCAAAAAAAAAAAAAAAATCAGCAAGGCAGTGGTTTTTAAAAATTCCCCAGCTGCTGCCACTTGAAAGAAAGAGTGTGAAAGGAAGTGAAATGGTAATCCCCCCTCTGTCTTTTGTTTGAAATAGAAAAACAATCCAAACAGAGGTAGGGTTTAGACAGTCAGGGGGAAAACTGAGACCCTTGAAAAGGACACTTCCTCACCACAGGAGGAAGAAAAATAAAATCAGCAGATTTAGCATGTCAAAACGCCTGGTCAGAGTGGGAGGGGGGGGGTTGGAGAGGGAGAGCAGAGTGAATTTTCACAGCATGGGGGGATATTAAGGAAATTGAACTGATGGTTACTCTTATATACACGCATATACACGGGCATGGGTTAGCAGACACCACCCTGGCTCGAGCGCATACTTGTTCTAAATTTCTCTGTTGCTTGGGGGACAGAGGGGAGCTCAAAGTTCCCAATAAAAATGCCTGAGTCTCTCTCAACTAAAAAACAAGCGGTGTTTGCTTCGCCGCGAACGTCCTCCATCATTCAGAGTTATCTCGCAGACGACCATCATTGTTGAACTTTCTTTCATTGAGTTTTATTTGAAAGAAATCTCCGGGCAAACATCAAAATGCTTGCTGAGTCTTAAGTGGAAATGGGATTCCTGGTGTCCCCTTTCATTTGCCTATGCAGAGCCCACCTAGATAAAGGCAGCCTTAACAGTGGAGAAAGGCCTCTTTTATAATTCTATTAGAGCTCTGTCCCTTCAGCTCTGTTGAGCAATGGATCCTGACCCTGACTTAATTAAGTGGCAAATGGCGGAATGATTCTCCTAAACCCAGCCCACGGAGTCAAGAACACATGACTGAATTCAAATAAAGAGGTACAAACAAGGATAATTAGTCAAGCCTGAAAGACAAAGGCGAACGGGAATTTATAGGAAGGGAAACTGAGACAGAGGGGGTGGAGCCAGCGGTGGAGTAGCCACAGAATGTCCAATCTGACCGCCTGCAATAAAGGTGCATTGGTCCATAGGAAGAGGAGGATGTCCGTCCCACCACCAGCCCATCTTTCAAACACACACTGAGTCCTCCTAAACAATCAAAGCTTCTCGAGCTCCTCCTACTCCTCCCCGAGCATCCAAATTCACTGCGGTCACATCAAATAGACGCACTGAAGGGGAGAAATGGTGGTGTTGAAGGGTTTGAGGGGGTTGTGGTGGGTGTTGGGGGGGGGGGCTTTGGGTCTGAGCAGCCTGAACAGACCTCACAGTGGGGGGCGGGCAGCTTGTATGGGACCGATTCCCATGCAGCCAGCAGCTTCACTTCCACAAACCGAGGGGAGGGAAGAGACAGGGAGTGAGGAAGAGGGACAGCAGCAGAAAGACGGAGAGGGGGCTGAGAGGGAAAACGACAGAGATGAAAAAAAGCGCACACAACAGGGAAAGAAAGCTGGGCCCCAAAGCATCAAAGGTTGCTATGGGAGAGAAATGAAGGAGCAACACAGTAAACGCCGCAGCAAAAAAAAAAAAAGTGCTAAATAAGGCCCCCTATGGTCCAGCGGGTACAGTGTTGACATGGTATGCTCTGCTCTGAGAATAACGGCTGCAAAAGAATGAATGCAAATATTTTTACAAGTGGAATCGATGCCACTTTTCTTGCTTGCAGAGCGCCGTCCGACCAGATGACTGGGACTCAAAAGGTTGTTGTGTTGGAGCTCTATAGATAGAGAGGCCAGCAGGAGAGCATCTGGGTGCCGTAGGCATGGCGGAGGGATGTGTTGAATATATTGTGACATTAATGAGGTTGTCAGACTCCTCATGATGGAGTGGCTGTGTTTTTGTGCCAGCAAAACTAATACCTTTAAATGCTCATGCTGTTAACCCCTGCTGAACCCTCGCCTCACATACAAAGCTGAGGGGACGATAACACATGCCCTTGCTTATGTATGCAGCCTGCTTCACAGACCTACACATTTCCTTGTTCACGTCATCGGGCAAGAACTCTTTGTAAGGATTTTGTAATGCTTACAATATTGAAACTAAATCGCACGACTGAGTGGTCTTTACCATAATGAATCAGTCACTTCCTCTATGTGTACCTGGCTCTGAAACCCGGTGGCATGTGGGCAATTAGTGACTGTGGTACCACTTCTCCCACACAGGGCTAATTACTGACCTGTGGGTTTCATTTAGAGAGAGAGAAAGAGAGAGAGGACAGGAGGACATGGGAAGACCCAGTCATTCATTTGTCTTAATTAATTACTCTTTCCTCCACCAGGGCTCCTGGCAAGGCCGGCTATTCTAAAAGCTCTTCTGAGAGATGGCGTTCCAGCACTCCTAACCTGTGAGTAGCCTGGAAGCTTTGCTCTGTGTTTTGGGGACTAACATAGAGGACACAGGCCAATGTGGGTAAATTCCTAAAACAGGAGTCTTATGGCCTCTGCGCTGATGTTGTAAATGCAACAAAAACGGCTTCGGGAGCACGAGCCAGGATGCCACTGCCGGGGCAGAAGGGGTTAAAGCAGGCAGCGGGGCCAGGTTTGGAGAGGTTAGCGGTGTGATTCATTTTTATTACCACGCAGCCCCTGCAGGCGGCAGGAGTGGCAAATTATTTCTGAAACAAAGTGGAGGGCTCTCATCAGAGCTATTACCTGCCTGTGGCCGAGGGCGGCGCGGAGCCTACAGAGGGTGACAGTGAGAGGCCCGCGTCAGTGAGGGATAGCCGTCCACATCCGTCCACGCTCCAGACACAGTAAACGCCGCAGCATGAGAACTGCTGTCTGTGTATGTGTGTGTGTGTGTTACTGTGAGTGTGTGTGTGTGTGTGTGTGTGTGAGTGTGTGTGCGTGCTTGTAGAAGATAAGGGTAAAGTTAGTCGCAGGACCTCCCCCACAGTATCCGTCAAAATAGTCTGCGGTGTTTTCTATCACGAGCATGCCAAGCAATTAGAGGTGACATGTAAAACACAATGACTCCCAGGTGCTAATTAAAAGAACAACTCCCCTCCGATATGCTGACTGCAGAGATCAGCCACAATGCACATCTTCCACACATTTATTATCACAGATTTAGCTGTGGCCTGGCCAGATTTGATTTCTGCATTTAATGCAGTTAGTACCAGTCTCTAATGAGGCATCCTTCATAAATGAATGATAAAGTGTAACAAATGGCTTCATTAATGGTTAATAAATCATTCATTATTTATAGATAGGTTATAAGCCATTAATAGGAACAACTTTGGGGTTGAAAAAAAAAATCATGGAATTAATGGCTTATTAGAAAGTGAAGCCCATGAGCATTTATTACCAACCTTTATAACTGTATTATTACCAAATAGGAAGGCCCAACACCAACCGAAGTGTGTTCCTATAAATTGTTTATAGATCTTAAAAGCATTAGCAAGTTATTTATTAATCTTTCATGAAGCCATCAGTTACAACTTAAACAAGCTTTATAACAGCTGACTCATTAGAAAGTGGTGCCATGCATTCTTCTTCTTCAAGGACTAGAACAGGTGATCAGGTGACATACATGTACATATGCATGGATGTAAACATGTTTCCAATTAAAGTGCATGTAATCAGTCTGATGTACACCGGTAATTTCATTGTTGCTGTGCGGCTCCGCGTACGACAAATCTATATATTGTGTTCGTTCGATCCTGAATATCATAAGCTAAACCAATCTTGTGGATGAATGCTTTTAAGTTAAATCTCAAAAATGCAAGGGATAAAACTAGTCTTGCAGGCGACATTCAATCAGACGCTGAGTTGATATTCAGGTAGTTACTGAATCGTTTAGATTAGGTGTCACTAATGTTTAGCGGGGAGTCGGGAGCCATATACTGCCTGCCTAAGTGCCATCACAAAGCTGCTTCATGTCACCGATGTGACACAATTAAAATCCTCTCATAGGTGCTCCACTCTACATAAGAGCAGCACACGCAGAAGGAGAGTCAGGTGAGGATCTATTGTGTAGAAAGAAGAGAAAAAAAAACAAAAAACACACTACATCCCATTAAGTTGGTCATAATTCATCTTTCATGATAAAGCAAAAAATAATTTGATACTAATGTTTACCCCACAAGGCTACATTATTCTATCAGCATCAGAAGCACCTCAATATCCAGTGGCCATATGTGATATTTACAACAGCTGTTTTTTGTCTGAGGATTAGTTATGCTGCAAATGAGATTTATTGTTTGACAGTGAAAACTAATGGAGACGCTGCTGCGGGATAAGATCGGATTTTTAAGACAATGAAGAACCTTCCTGCTCGAGGCGACGTGGGACTGACAGTGGGAGGGAGAGGAATCAACATCAATAATCTTTCATCAAGTCCACAGTGGAGCACTTTAGCACAGATACCATTCAATAAATAACTGTAGGCCATCATTCAGTTCTGAACTGGCCGGAGAATGGAGGATGGATTCAAGAGGAAAGGGCCCGAGACTTCCACAGGACAGAAAAAAACAATGAAAGACTGTTCATTTGCAAACTTCCTTTTAGTTAACATTTCTTCAAGATGACTATGTGTTCGAACGGTCCCAGTATGTGCATGTTAAACTAGATTTGAGGGTACTCACTTACTGCACATTGCTTGGACTACCTCACAGTGAAGTGAGCAGCTTCATGTTATTTATATGGTAGTGCTATAGGTTCAAAACCATTAAATGTTATGTGTTCCTGGGAAAATGGATACTATACTGTCATTGCCCCTTTTATTCAAATTTTCTAAATGACTCTCAGCAAAAAAACACACACATGAATGTGACATCAGGCCAAACTTGATGTGATGTGAATTAAGGTCTTTAATGGTCATGTGTCTCCACTGCTGATATATGATGGTCTTCTTCCACTACATAAAAGCTGCCCATTTAATTGTCTTTGTACACATAACATTAAATTGCTCAGTCTTGTTTTAAGATATAGGCCTATATACTGTTGCTAAAGACTGCATATAAAAAGTGCTATACCTTTAATAATACACCAGCATCAGTAAGACTCAGTAAGACAGTAAGCTGCAAACCCTTGAAGGATCTGTTCACAATATTTCAAGTCGCTCTTAAAACAAGACTGACATGTCCATATGTTCATGGAAACAGATACTAGTCACTGTAGTTGTTCCTCCTGCCCACACTGTGAGAAGATCAGTTCGTCCACTCAGCTGAAGCTGATGCGACGCTTCAACAGCCTGAGTCAGTCAAGTCAAGTGCAGGATTTTCCAGAGTTTGAGTCTTTTTAGTGCAACACTCAAATCTCAAATTCCTGGAAAAATCCCTGCATATCTGTAACAATGATTCTTTTTATTATTGATTAATACAATGATTTTCTTCTCGTACCATTTTTAACTGATTTAACTGCTCACTCTACATAATGTTAGAAAACTGAAAAAAGTTCCCAGAGCCTGAAGTGAAAGCTTCACATTATTAGGTTTTTTTTTTTTACAACCATCACTGTAAAACTCAAAGGTCTTCACTTTACAATTATAACAACCAAAGAAAAGCTAGATACAGATCATGTTTAGCAATTTTGCTTGAAAATGACTAAAATGATTGATCAGTTATCAAAATTTATGTTCAGTACTGGCTGAAATTTAATATATAACAAAAGGAAGTACTCATACAGAACCTCCACTGAATAATAAGTAGATTCTTGTTACCAAAATACATCAAATTACTCCATGTGGTGTCATTAATATGTAATTAGATGACAGCATAATACACATCGTGGTCCTTTGTAAGGCTTTAACACTGGATTTTATTAAACCCTGAGTAATATCAACTGTTATAGCAGCAGGAGTCATAATAAAAAAGAAAACATCTATGTCTCCGTGTTGGTATCACTTTTCCTAACAAAGTTATAAAGCTGTGATGTTAAAACAGTCTAAAGCCAGCAGGGAGACCCTACAGACAGTCTTCGCTGCGACAGACAGAGTGATGACCCGGCCCTTTGTGATGGATATGTGACAGGGCAGCTTGGGGCCCGAGGGCCCGGCTCTTGGGGTGGGGTTTAGCCATAATGGTGTGCTTAATTACCTGCACAGCCACACAGCAGGTCATTAGTCAGACTGGGACGCTAGGTCTCACCTGTCACCAAGAGATAAACAATCCTCCTACCAGATCTGGGTACCTCAGAGGAAAGGGAGCAGATAGTCGTCGAGGTAAGTTGGAGCAGGGTAGCACGGAGTGATTGGCAAAATAGATTTTTTTTAAGAGATGCATATCACAAAAATTGAAAGCTACTTGAATAGAAAAAAAAACTTTGGTTGAGTTTTTTGTTAAATCTCTGAAATCCTCATTCATGTTTACTATTAAACTCCCATCTGTATCCACTGGGACTGAACGGGAACAAAGGGCTTGGGCTGGTTTCATATGTGGTTTAGATTATATGATCTTTTCTTGATTAGCGCTTACATGTCAAGTGACAAACTTGATGGATTTGGAGCTAGTCAGGGCATTTACCAGGTAAGTGCAAAATGTCACACACAACACTCCTTTCATGAATTATGAGTTCCACGTCGAGTTAGTGGAGGGACAACAGATCCTGTGGTGGAAATATTAGATATTACATCCTCAAATGAAGAGACAGAGGGATGCAGACGCCAACAAGCTACTGACTCAAATAAAACAGAAGCATTGTGATCACTATGTACAGAATGGACTCGTACTGAAACATAAAATACTGTGTTCTTGGCTCAATAGACTGACATTTATGGACCCCTGGTGCTTCTTATGGAGCATTTTGTGGTGTGAAGTGCCGGTGCTGAAATGTGGGTGGCTAATAAATGGCAGCTAATGGAGAGAAGACGGTGCTGGCTTCCCGTTCTATAATCTCTGTATGCTTCATTAAGCAGCACCTTTTATTTGCAGAAGGATGCTAACCTGGTGCTGTCGCTCCCCGGCTTGGTGTAGCCCTCCAGAGCGCCCTCCCACACGCTGTTGGCCATCGTGTTTCCGATGGCGGTCATCACCATGCTGAGCTCCACCGGCCAGTCGTCCAGGTCCAGCGAGCGGACACGGGACAGGTGGGTGCCCAGGTTCCTGTGGATGCCCGAGCACTCGATGCACATCAAGGCACCCAGGTTCAAACTTGCCCAGTCTGGGTCTGCATGAGAGGGAACAGAACATGATCATGATGATGGAACAGGAGAAGTCACAAGAGAAGCTTTATTTATTAGTCTGAAATGGATTTATGATGATCTCCTCGAACAGTTTTCATCTTTTTCGTAAGAATGGTTTTCTACATATTACACTGCATTCATACATTCCAAAAAATATCCTCGAGTTATAAGAGAAGCAGGAGTTTTTAACTTTATTTTAATTTTACTTGAATGATTGCAGGTATAAACTTGAATACATTCGGCATCTGCACTGATCACATGAGTTTTACACATCTTAACACCCTTCAGTTTTCAAGGCTTTGATGGGCAAGAAAAGAACAAGCAGGATCCATTACGGCTGAGTCGTGAAGCCAACAAGGATTTGCTTTAAGATGAAGCTCCTCTAAAGGTCACGAGAGGTTTTATACTGTTACCGTGTGGTATTCCTGATGTTCCACTCTTAATGTGCAAGTTTGACTAATGTGTTACCAGTGACAACCATATTCAATCTAAGATGGCAAACAAAGACTGAGGGCCTGATTTACTAAGATCCCAAATAAAGAGCGCTAAATTGCGTGCGCACACGGATAGATTGCGCGCGCTGCCTGTTTGGGCCTTGCGAGTGATTTACTTAGATTACAAGCGCAATTGACTACAGGCGCAAAAGTGATTGAGCCGGCACTATTTAAATGAGGATTTTGCGCGAGTTAAGGGTGTTCACCGTGGCGAATGCAAATGAGCAGATCCAATTGGACCGGAATTGGAGGTGCTGGTACAAGAGGCAAACAAGCACATTTCTGAGTTATAGCAAAGGAATTTAACCGTTATTAGGAGGAACGCAATATGGGAGGCAATCTGTGACAAGGTTAATGCTGTGGGGGAAACCAAAAGAACACCGGATGAAATGAAGAAAAGGTGGCAAGACATTCGTAGAAGAACAAAGGAAAAAAAACGCGCAGAATAACAAATCGGCAAATAAAACAGGTGGGGGACTGGTGGAGGAGGACCCTCTGTCTCCCATTGAACAGCAGGTGCAGCTGATGTTCTGTGATGAGCAGATTACTGGGATAGAGGGAATATTTTTAATTCATTCAGGTACACCACATAAGACATGAACGTGCGTCATGAACGTTCTTTAGCTGTGCAATGGAAAAGCGTAATTGCCAAAAGGGTTTTTTTTGTTTGTGCTTTCCAGCAGGGGCGCAGAAGTGTGTGTGTTTTAATTTGTTTTAAGTTTCAGGAAAAAATGATAGGAACTAGGCCGAACTAAATGTTTCCTATGTCTAAAAGAAAGTGGGCTTTAGTACATAAAAATGTGAGTTTTTGGTTTTGTCAAAATAGCACAAACAAGAAACACTTGACATTATGATGCAACATTTATTATTTAAGGATTTTCTGAACTCTGAACGAATGACTTTTTTTGTTTTGCATCGCCGGATAACCGATATGTCTCGATTATTTTTTCTTCTGCCATTCCAAAAAGAGTGACACGAACAGAAAAGATGCTTTCTCTCCGTTGCCTGTCGTGCCTACGCCGCCTCCTTGCAACAATGACCGCGGCCATCTGTGCGCACGGCTGTGCCAGGTAGCCTAAGACTTGACTTTCAAACGTGCTAAATATAGACGCAAAAATAATCAGCGCAATTAGTTTGAGGTTTGGTAAATCACATTGCGTGCGCAAAATGATTCTATTTGCATCTACTCCTCCCAATATTTTGCGCGTTCTGGCAGGCACGCCTATATTGCATATTCATGAAGGCAGAAGTGCAAAATGGATAGCGTGTGTTATTTTGCCCGACTGACAGACGCAATCCTTGGTGCACCCGGTTGGTAGATCAGCATCAACATGTGTTTGCGCGTGCTGTCGCGTTTGCGCACGTTTTTATGCACGCAAAGCTTTAGTAAATCAGGCCCTGAGTTGGCAAAATAAAATACAATCTTAACCAGAACACCAAAAATTTGCAATTATACTAACAGAATTTTAGGAAACAAAACACACAGTGTCAAAGACTGTCAATACAATAAGTTACAGTAGGTTGCATTATACCATGGTAACAATAATAGGCTATCGAGCTCTGAATAAAGCTCTGAAAACTAGCCTGGATACAGATACTGCAATGCAATAATCATTTCAACCACTCAATTCAAATGTTTGAATATTGTTGAACATATATATATATATATATATATATTGATTTACAGAAAGTCTTGGTCTCTTACGGTACAGAACCTTTATCCATAATGTATCAGCTTTTGAGGTGAAGGATTATACTCACTGGGTGCGTCACAGTCCACACAGAAGCTGTTCCCCCTCACGTTTCGTATGGACTGAATGGCCATTGCATCACTTTGGCTACCTAACCGAGACTGTGAGGAACGAGGGAAAGAGTAAGTCAGCGGGAACTAATCACTGCGAGAGTAAGAGAAGGCAAACAATTATAGCTGGACTCAAATCATAGACAACCAGTGATGGGTGGGAGGGAAGAGGTGTTTCAAAGTCTTGGGAAAAGACTGAGGCAGAGAAAATATGAATATGAAAATGAGGCCGTGTCTCCCCAGTATGCTGACACAAGCCGTGTTCTATCTCTGATGTCTGTCAGTTCTAATAAGAGATCCCCCACACTGCGGTGCACCTGTCTGACAACCTCCCACATGTGACAGCTTGAAGTGGGTGAGGGGGTGGGGGGCGAGGGGGGAGGGCAGAATAAAGGTTGGAGAGAAGGAGGGGTGGGGGGGGCAGGGGGGATGTAAATGAAGCAGCAGAATTGTAGGATGATGACGATGTTGTGATTAGACGATAATCGCCAATCCCTGTCCAGTTCTTCTGGTATTTCTTATCTTCCGTGACCTACTGTACCTTATTTTTTATGCTCTCACAAGACTGCAGGCTGGCGAAGATCTGGCTCTCGATCGCTTGGACCCACAGTTCCCTCTCCTCATATGTGGACGCTTCAAAGTTCCACGTCTGACCCGTCAACGACACAATGATGAACTCAAAGGAATCCTCTTGCTCTGAAAAAAAAAGAAGAAAAGAAACACACACAAATGAACAATAAATTAGTACTTAATCAAAAACAAATGTCATACATACACCAAATACAAGTTTTCTTGGATTCTGAGCCATCACTCATGCACAAGTTTTTAGGGCTTCCTTTCTGCTTTGCATCCGTATGGTAGAAAAATCACCTGTCAGCACATTGAAGGGGGAACACGTTAGCTGGAGCAACACGCATGTCGGTTGTGCAATCTGACTCTGCAAATCAGCGGCACAGCTCAGTGATTGAGGCCCATCTATGCACGAGTGCACTGTGGAATGGGCTTCTGTTAAACTCAGCAACATCCAAGTGATTTCTTGGCACCTCCTGTACTCCCTGGCACCGCTGTTTGGTTTGATGATGCCTCAAAACCTCCAACACATAAACACCAGTGCACGTTTTAATTCCACTTTAGAGAGCATNCACGTTTTTATGCACGCAAAGCTTTAGTAAATCAGGCCCTGAGTTGGCAAAATAAAATACAATCTTAACCAGAACACCAAAAATTTGCAATTATACTAACAGAATTTTAGGAAACAAAACACACAGTGTCAAAGACTGTCAATACAATAAGTTACAGTAGGTTGCATTATACCATGGTAACAATAATAGGCTATCGAGCTCTGAATAAAGCTCTGAAAACTAGCCTGGATACAGATACTGCAATGCAATAATCATTTCAACCACTCAATTCAAATGTTTGAATATTGTTGAACATATATATATATATATATATATATTGATTTACAGAAAGTCTTGGTCTCTTACGGTACAGAACCTTTATCCATAATGTATCAGCTTTTGAGGTGAAGGATTATACTCACTGGGTGCGTCACAGTCCACACAGAAGCTGTTCCCCCTCACGTTTCGTATGGACTGAATGGCCATTGCATCACTTTGGCTACCTAACCGAGACTGTGAGGAACGAGGGAAAGAGTAAGTCAGCGGGAACTAATCACTGCGAGAGTAAGAGAAGGCAAACAATTATAGCTGGACTCAAATCATAGACAACCAGTGATGGGTGGGAGGGAAGAGGTGTTTCAAAGTCTTGGGAAAAGACTGAGGCAGAGAAAATATGAATATGAAAATGAGGCCGTGTCTCCCCAGTATGCTGACACAAGCCGTGTTCTATCTCTGATGTCTGTCAGTTCTAATAAGAGATCCCCCACACTGCGGTGCACCTGTCTGACAACCTCCCACATGTGACAGCTTGAAGTGGGTGAGGGGGTGGGGGGCGAGGGGGGAGGGCAGAATAAAGGTTGGAGAGAAGGAGGGGTGGGGGGGGCAGGGGGGATGTAAATGAAGCAGCAGAATTGTAGGATGATGACGATGTTGTGATTAGACGATAATCGCCAATCCCTGTCCAGTTCTTCTGGTATTTCTTATCTTCCGTGACCTACTGTACCTTATTTTTTATGCTCTCACAAGACTGCAGGCTGGCGAAGATCTGGCTCTCGATCGCTTGGACCCACAGTTCCCTCTCCTCATATGTGGACGCTTCAAAGTTCCACGTCTGACCCGTCAACGACACAATGATGAACTCAAAGGAATCCTCTTGCTCTGAAAAAAAAAGAAGAAAAGAAACACACACAAATGAACAATAAATTAGTACTTAATCAAAAACAAATGTCATACATACACCAAATACAAGTTTTCTTGGATTCTGAGCCATCACTCATGCACAAGTTTTTAGGGCTTCCTTTCTGCTTTGCATCCGTATGGTAGAAAAATCACCTGTCAGCACATTGAAGGGGGAACACGTTAGCTGGAGCAACACGCATGTCGGTTGTGCAATCTGACTCTGCAAATCAGCGGCACAGCTCAGTGATTGAGGCCCATCTATGCACGAGTGCACTGTGGAATGGGCTTCTGTTAAACTCAGCAACATCCAAGTGATTTCTTGGCACCTCCTGTACTCCCTGGCACCGCTGTTTGGTTTGATGATGCCTCAAAACCTCCAACACATAAACACCAGTGCACGTTTTAATTCCACTTTAGAGAGCATTGCGATTCACCAGCAACACATACTGATATGTTTTTTTTTTGTGATTTAACTTTTTTTTGATGCCTTTAACATTTAATTCAGACATATCCTAACGGACACAACGGACACATACTCAGACAAGTCATTGCGTATCATCTACTAAATACACAGCCAGTGTCTGTTCTGTTGATGAATTGGCTTCTCGTAGAAAATAAACATGGACTGCGAAGACGCTATAGCGGTCAAATTTCTGCTCATAAATCCAAGTCTAAAACTCTCTTTGTGTTCAGTGTGAACACATTTTACAACTGTATATTATGAAGGCGTCAGGAGACCTACTGTATCCGCCAGCATTCCCACTGGTGGACAACCACAACCACTCAGCTAGCCAACTCCGCTGTCAGTATTATCCCATTCACCCGTGTGTCACCCCGTTACTTCTGTGACACAAAGAACAACTGTTAAGTGTTACAGCAGTTTTTCCTGCTTCATAATTAAATTTCTTTCACATTCAGTCAGTCTACTGTCTCAGGAAATCCATTTTGTTGTTGTTTTTAAATCACAAAATCTGTGTTTTATCCTGCCTGCCCTGTTTATTACAGAGGCTCCAAGACTTTCTCTCATTTGGAATCTTTGCTTCTATTCTCGTTGCTGGTTACATAATGTATGCTGACGTTCTTGGTATGTCAACCCCCCCTCAGTCTGTCTCAGTTTGGCCACACCAGATGAAGGTTTTGTCAGATACCATTTAATACGACATGAACACAGGCATAAAAACAACAACAACANTTGAATATTGTTGAACATATATATATATATATATATATATTGATTTACAGAAAGTCTTGGTCTCTTACGGTACAGAACCTTTATCCATAATGTATCAGCTTTTGAGGTGAAGGATTATACTCACTGGGTGCGTCACAGTCCACACAGAAGCTGTTCCCCCTCACGTTTCGTATGGACTGAATGGCCATTGCATCACTTTGGCTACCTAACCGAGACTGTGAGGAACGAGGGAAAGAGTAAGTCAGCGGGAACTAATCACTGCGAGAGTAAGAGAAGGCAAACAATTATAGCTGGACTCAAATCATAGACAACCAGTGATGGGTGGGAGGGAAGAGGTGTTTCAAAGTCTTGGGAAAAGACTGAGGCAGAGAAAATATGAATATGAAAATGAGGCCGTGTCTCCCCAGTATGCTGACACAAGCCGTGTTCTATCTCTGATGTCTGTCAGTTCTAATAAGAGATCCCCCACACTGCGGTGCACCTGTCTGACAACCTCCCACATGTGACAGCTTGAAGTGGGTGAGGGGGTGGGGGGCGAGGGGGGAGGGCAGAATAAAGGTTGGAGAGAAGGAGGGGTGGGGGGGGCAGGGGGGATGTAAATGAAGCAGCAGAATTGTAGGATGATGACGATGTTGTGATTAGACGATAATCGCCAATCCCTGTCCAGTTCTTCTGGTATTTCTTATCTTCCGTGACCTACTGTACCTTATTTTTTATGCTCTCACAAGACTGCAGGCTGGCGAAGATCTGGCTCTCGATCGCTTGGACCCACAGTTCCCTCTCCTCATATGTGGACGCTTCAAAGTTCCACGTCTGACCCGTCAACGACACAATGATGAACTCAAAGGAATCCTCTTGCTCTGAAAAAAAAAGAAGAAAAGAAACACACACAAATGAACAATAAATTAGTACTTAATCAAAAACAAATGTCATACATACACCAAATACAAGTTTTCTTGGATTCTGAGCCATCACTCATGCACAAGTTTTTAGGGCTTCCTTTCTGCTTTGCATCCGTATGGTAGAAAAATCACCTGTCAGCACATTGAAGGGGGAACACGTTAGCTGGAGCAACACGCATGTCGGTTGTGCAATCTGACTCTGCAAATCAGCGGCACAGCTCAGTGATTGAGGCCCATCTATGCACGAGTGCACTGTGGAATGGGCTTCTGTTAAACTCAGCAACATCCAAGTGATTTCTTGGCACCTCCTGTACTCCCTGGCACCGCTGTTTGGTTTGATGATGCCTCAAAACCTCCAACACATAAACACCAGTGCACGTTTTAATTCCACTTTAGAGAGCATTGCGATTCACCAGCAACACATACTGATATGTTTTTTTTTTGTGATTTAACTTTTTTTTGATGCCTTTAACATTTAATTCAGACATATCCTAACGGACACAACGGACACATACTCAGACAAGTCATTGCGTATCATCTACTAAATACACAGCCAGTGTCTGTTCTGTTGATGAATTGGCTTCTCGTAGAAAATAAACATGGACTGCGAAGACGCTATAGCGGTCAAATTTCTGCTCATAAATCCAAGTCTAAAACTCTCTTTGTGTTCAGTGTGAACACATTTTACAACTGTATATTATGAAGGCGTCAGGAGACCTACTGTATCCGCCAGCATTCCCACTGGTGGACAACCACAACCACTCAGCTAGCCAACTCCGCTGTCAGTATTATCCCATTCACCCGTGTGTCACCCCGTTACTTCTGTGACACAAAGAACAACTGTTAAGTGTTACAGCAGTTTTTCCTGCTTCATAATTAAATTTCTTTCACATTCAGTCAGTCTACTGTCTCAGGAAATCCATTTTGTTGTTGTTTTTAAATCACAAAATCTGTGTTTTATCCTGCCTGCCCTGTTTATTACAGAGGCTCCAAGACTTTCTCTCATTTGGAATCTTTGCTTCTATTCTCGCTGCTGGTTACATAATGTATGCTGACGTTCTTGGTATGTCAACCCCCCCTCAGTCTGTCTCAGTTTGGCCACACCAGATGAAGGTTTTGTCAGATACCATTTAATACGACATGAACACAGGCATAAAAACAACAACAACAAAAAAAAAAAAACTAAATCCCATTTTGGATCCTGAAATCATAGTTTAGGCTTTGTAACTCTCCACATTTCCAAGAATGACTTTTGATAACACTCCTGGGATGATAAGTGACCAGAGCCAATCTTATTGCGTTTTTAAAGACAAATCTAATTATTTTTACCACCGCTTACACAATCTCAAAACTAGATTTCAAGATTTCATTGACATTTTGAAGAAATTAGAGTAGTGACTGAAGCGTCCTCTAATTTCTTGGCCGAATGCTTTTTAAAAGTGAACCGCACTGGCCATTTGATATCTCGTCTTTCAGCATAAACGGACAAAGCTAGAGACTGGGTATCTGTTTTGAGATCTTTTTTTAGAACTATTTTATTTCAACTAACCATGACTCAATGTTATTTCCTTGAAATTCTCCCATGAATTCTCCCATGTCAAGTGCGTTGACAGCTATTTTTCCAGGCCATGGTATAATGAAGGGTAGATTTGATTTTCATTACTTGGTCATATTTTAGTGTCTGAAAACAAGACAATAATGAGTCCAATAACGTTTTCTAATAATACTGGTGTACAGATTAGCTTCTATCTCCACACTCAACTAGAATACTTTATACTTTTTCTTTTTTCTTAAATGCATTTGATATTTTTTGATATAGCGCAAACTCATTTATCTCCAAACAGGCTTAGAAAATTGTGAATCGACCATGGTTCTTTGCATCCCTCCTTTGTGTTTAACTAAGATTTATGAAAATGTCACCTGTCGTTTTCAAACAAGAGGTCTGACACAACATATGTTCCAACACATGCTGTAATGCCTCTGCTGTTCAGAAGCAATTCATTAACTCCGTACTGTACAATGTGACTCGTGTAACATCTCTGGTCTCTGCACATGCTTGAGCTCATAGCCAAATGATTTGTAATTACCTAATTATGTCTATGCAAATAGTCGTCTCATTTGCATAAACCATGTTTGGAGGACTGGAGGCAAGTAGACACAAGGGGAATGTTTTTTCCTGTGTAGCTTTGATCCACCAGGTCCTGGAAATAGTTCTGCTGATATGCTATTAATGTGCTGTATTAATTACCCACAGTGTTGATATCATTTATCATTACCAGAAGTCACATTACAAAGCAAAGTTTTTTCATTGCATCCATACACATGTAGACTTCTACCGTTATCCTTTCTGACATTTGACGAGCGAGGAAATGCTCAAACTTAAATCAACTCTGTTATAAAATGATGGTAGTCTCGCGATAATAAGATCATCAGACGAATGATATAACTAAATAAATAACTACACTTTATATTTATAATCAATTCACCCTCCTTGGTGCGAGACACAGCCCTGTGCAGTTAACTGACAGATGTCTGACGGACGCCACTAATGTAGCGATCCCTGTGCCGTGGTGGAGGGCGATCTCTTCAGGGGGAAAGCAATAATCCAATTAGCTCGACACCGACTTCAATTATCTGATTTAGTTTGTGGAATTGACTACAGGTCACAGAGAATCAATAAAGACCTGGGAGCCTCTTTATTTAGACTTAAAGTGAAAAAAGTCTTTTGGTTGTGTGTAATGTTTTAGAGCAGTAGCAGGGATTAAAATTCTTCATTTGATGGAATAAAAATGGTCTATTAGAAGGAACCTAAAAGGTGATACAGAATAAAAGCAAAAAAATAATATGGAAAGAAATTAAATCTGAAAATTAAAAAAAAAAAAAACCTTGATTAATTGGAATACATAGAGAAGAAATCAATTTTTTTCTAGTCCAATATACCTTCAGGTACAATAACTAATGCATTTGATTAGAATTTGTGGTTCCCAGACTCAAATGTTGTTATACTTGTGTTTTCATCTTTTTAAAAAACCTGAACAAAGCTAATTATTCTGTTGGCTGCCCAGGCAATAAATTGGAGGCATTAAAACACTTTCATTATGGAGATTAAAAAAGCAATGGATGACTGATTTCTTAAACTGATGAGTATACGAGGGAAAACAAATCTAATTCTCCATGCATAGTAATGCACATGCGAGACATACAGTAGCCACTAAAGAGACAGAGGGCCATGTGCAGCAGGAATCTTTACGGGGTGACACAGGTATTGTCATTACATGCAGCTCCGGCACACTGATATTACTTTTTAATGCCGTCCGCAGTGTGGCAATTCAGCTCCCAAAGCCAAAGTGATTCTGCTCCATGTAAGCATGATGCTGAGGGTCAAAGTCTTGATCTCACAGACAGTAAATCTGAGCATGAACAATGTCTCAAAGTTAGCACTGCTACCTTACAGGCACCTGCCATGATGAGCTTGTAAAAGGGTCATTAGTGCCTCTGTCATTACTCAGTGGTCACAGTTGGAACATGGCTAGCAGAGGAACGATCACCTGGTCACATTAACATGAGCATTAACCTCCTGACCATATCTATCTGCGAGCCGACAATCAACAAGTTCTCGCCAATTACAAATAAATTAACAAAGCTCTGCCAGTGGGCGGACAAGGAAGAACACAATTTAAAGGCAATGGAGGAGCCAACTGTGAAGAATGAGCGAAATATGATTTTCCTTAATTAACATGGCGTAATAAAAAGGAAATTAGAGTGTAATGGCCATGGAGCTACAAAGAGGAAGGAGCAGATAAAGATACTCATCGTCCACCATTTACATGGATCATAAAACTGTTTGGGAACCTCTCAGTTACAGACGTTCATCAGATACCCGATGGCTTCTAGCAGCAACACAACAGCTCTTTAATAAGCCCAACGTTTCAATAGCAGATGACTGCTTCAAAATAGAAAGATAGATTGTGAATGCATTTTTAATATTTACTGGCTGCAGTGGTAGAAAGTAAGTACATTTACTCCAAGTACCGTAGTTAAGTAGTTTTGAGGTACTTGTACTTTACTTTGGGGTATTTACATGTCATGCTTCTTTGTAGAGAGATGTTGTAATTTTTACACGACTGAAGTCACATGACAGCTGTAGTTACTGCCGACTTTTCAGATGAGAATTTTACTTAAAAAACATATAATGAGCTTTGAGTTGTTAGTTTAGTGATTTCAACTAGTGGAATATACTGCTCAAAAAGGTCAAAAAGATTACAGAAAAGGTCCAAGCAATACTTGAATTTTTTTCCTTTCCTTCTCTGTTAAACATCCCATGACCCCTGATATTTATCTTGTGACCAGGGGCCCCGCCACCTAGGTTGGGAGGGGTTGAACTACACCACCTCACTGTATTTTAGTTCCACTTCAATGAGCTACAACTGTAAAGTGCTGCATGATAAATAAGAATCGAATGATGTCGTATATATGACACTTTACATTTAGATGAACTGTTACTGTTACACCTTGAGTACTTCCTCCACCACTGACTGGCTGCCATTAAAGGAAAATCTTCCCCTTTCCAAAACTGTTTAGGTGCTGTAAATCATAAAGGTATACGTTTGACCTGAAAAACAAACTGGAGCCTGAAAAAAAAGGAGGTGACCTGAGGACGGTGATCCCTCTGTCGCAGTGTATGTGCACCACCGAGGACCTGTGGACCAGATTACCACCTCGGGGGGTTTGGTGCTGAGCCCAGCTGCGCTGTCTACACAGCAGGCAGCAACACAGCATCTATTCTGTCTAAGCCTCTCAAAGATCCTCTGGAGACCAGTGTGACGAACCCTCGGAAAGGACTTAACAAACAGCTCGTAGCCTTGAGGGACTCCCCCCCTTTTTTTTTTTTTTTCACCCATTTGTGTGAGAACCCGGCTGAAATGATGACAAGGTGCAGAGGTGCACGAGGTGAGCTATTGTTGTGGTGTGTAGGATGTGTTTTGTTGTGTCGTATGCATGCATCAGGCAGTCACTTAAAGAAGTGCTCGCCGTTCCCGTGAATTAACGAGCAGTTGGGAAGAACAGGCCAAGGCGGTGCCATCTGTAAATGTCACAGGCACTGCTTGCTCATTTTACACATCATTAAAGCCAATATTCCTAACCTGTATCAGAGCAATCAGGAGCAGGCCATTACTGCGACAGGGGCCCCAGGGGAACCACGACCAAACTCAGAAAGAAGAGAGCAGGGAGGGAGAGAGAGAGAGATAGAGCACACTCTCTATCAATCTGACACACACACACACACACACACACTCTCTTCCGCACACTCATACATGCACACGCACACGCTCAAACAAACAAGGAGCACACCTTCCAACAATAAACAAACACATGAAATCAGCACCAACACCACTACCCTAATAGCTAGTGCATTTAACAACAGAGCAGAATGAAAACAGGGCCAATTATACATGTATCTGTGGGCAGTGTGTATAGAGCCCAAATGAGAATCTTGTTATTCCTTTCCCTCCATACTGTGGCGCTCAGAAAGCTAAGCCATTACAAGAGTGGAGGCTCCAGGGACAGCTTTCGGAAATGAGAGCGAGTCGGGGAGTGACAAAACAAAGTATTGAGATAAACACCCACCATTAGCACAGGCAGTTAAACCTCCATTTCCTAATCCTCAGCTGGACTCCAGAGGATATTAACCCTTAGTTTACTAAGGTACAGGACAATAGGATACTGGATTAAGTTGGCCTCGCAGTGCAAAATTAACATTATTAATGATCGACGGTCGGCGCAGGTTATTTTGTGGCGCAGAGCGGAGGGGGAACATGATCTCTTGTTCCAGGCTATCTGTAGATGAGTCCGAAGCATCAGGATGTTGCCTAACAGTGTTTTCTTCTGATCTAGAACTTCTGCAGTGTAAGACAGTCAAAGAACATGAAAGAAATCTGAGAGCAGACAGCGACTAATAAAAGCTCAAACAACGAGGAATGAAAGAAGAGGGGAAAAAAAAGACAAATGGTGAAATGAACATTGTTGTAAAGAAAGTCTTTCAAGTACATATCAAGGTCATTTCTGGTCATTGCAGTCAATTCATCCCAGTTCTTCACTCTCCAGTTGGCAGCAACTTTGTCATTAATCCCCATGGATTCACATCACTCTGTGCGTGATGCTCCTCATTCTCAGCCAAAACTACATGATATGTGTCAACAGCTTCCTTATTCTGTAACCCTGATGAAGACTGCGAGCTGAAACTATTAAAGCCCGATGACCCTGATAGGGTCACAAGGCCACAAGCCGACACACGATGGTCTAATAAAGTTCTTCTGTATACTGGAAATGTTGCTGGAGTTTTGACCTCTTACTATTTAATCCTAACTGCTTTTCAGCATCTTAGTTTTAGTTAGTAGAATGGCATGAGAATTAATTTAATGGTTTAAGTGGTATCCCATCATACATTTGTGAAAACATGCACATATACAGTATATGGATATTTTCTGGTTACTTTCCACCAGTGATCCATATTATTTAAACTGATTTCATGAGGGCAGGTTGTTTAATCCTCAGATACTTATGGGACACAAGACTCCCGTTATCACCATCCTTGTAAAATTCTGTTTTAAGCTTAGGGATCCACTTTCTCCAAACATCAAAATTATTTTGGAGGAGTGGAGGAGTACTTTCAATCACTTTAAATAATCAGCTCAAATTGTAAAATAAAACAAGTTGTTAATCAAAATCTATTATTGAATCTTTAATCAAATACGGTTTATTAACCAATTTAAGATTAAAAACTGGAGTTTGTGAAAATAAAGTGAACTGACCTCAGTCATTATTGCAAGTCTTGAGTGTATGTCTGGCAGTATGAGTGATGCCTCCTTTAAACATATCTTCTCTTAGAACTGTAGGACTTTTGCACTTGTGCTCAAAATGTGCAAGAATGCACGTTAAGTTTGATGAGACTTGGTTTAATTTGATGTCTTTCGCTAAAATTGCACCAAATCAAATCCTGCGGTGGAGATGTAAATGAAGACCTTAACACCTCCTTTACATTAAAAGCGTTCAGGCAAACACTTGGCTCTTGTTTCCTCCCTGATTTCTGTGACCTTCGCACGAGTAAATATCTTCATCCATAAAACTCTGAGAATCAGGAAGGAGCCTCGCACAACCGCAATCTCCCTTCATCCCTGCACCTCCCTCTCTGCTCACAGTGGACAAGCTAAAACCCCCAAAACAATGAGCATTTGATACACTTTCTTTAAAAGAGAAATACATTAATGATGCTCCCTGACAGTCTGCATTAATCAGAGGGGGCTCCCCCTGAACACAACTCTTTATCGGCCATCGATTTTCCAGTGGGTTTATGGCGAGCGACACACCGAGAGAGCTCGTCGCCGGGTGGCTGCTGGGAAACACATTACGGGGCTGTCAGTTGTCTCGCCATGCATCCTGCATCATTCTTTAAGCACATGAGAAGTTCATTACACCACACAGCTCTGACAGTGCATAGGATATTAGGGACTGTGTCCATTGTGCATATCCTTGGTGGAGGTGTAGCACTGTAGACACAACAGAGAATTCATGGACAATCCAAATAAAGCATTAAATTGAAAACCAATACAAGAGATTAAATGTGATTTTAAGGCCATCAGCTGGACTTTATAAGGGGCGGATCAAACCTATTTGAAAGTTTGTTTGCAATTATTGTTTGTCATTTAGCCTTTCATAATCATAGTGTCTAGGATTTTCTGCAGCTTCAGCGGCCATGTACAAGAGTCTTGCTAAGTACTGTAGTTCCATATTTGGAAATGACGGTGCAGCAACAGTTTCTCCAGGCTCCCTTGTACATCCTTACACATTCCATGTTGACCAAAATGATTTCTCACCTTAAGACGCTCACGCTGTTTTGATTTATGATGCTTCACAACTACTAAAATTCAATTTCAGCCTGCATTGCACGCTTCTGATTGCCCCGTAAATGAGACAAACTGATAGCAATTTATTCAAGGATCCCACCTCTCCTCTCCTCTCCTCTCCTTTCCTTTCCTCTCCTCTCTCTCTCTCTCGCCTCTTCTTTCAACAGGAGACACAACTCACATCACCAGACTTGGGTGAATCCAATATCTAAGTGATACGTCTGTATTCCAGAGCACTCAGCAGAACAGACAAGTTGATGCTAATAGAAAACCTCGCAGAGAACAATGAGAAAGATAGAAAACAATGTGCATGTTTGATGACGTGAGGAACATTCAGAATCTGCCTCCTACAGTCTGATTACTCTTAGACTTCCTCCTCAGGAAGTCCAGGACTAATCTGACTTCAATTATGCAAACGTATACGACCGTAATTCTGTCAGGAGACACCCATAAAGAGTAAGTAATGTCAATAAAACTGAAGTAGTGGACATCTTCAAAAAAGACCAGGCTTGAGGAGATGTAGGGAGCTGCAGACTGCTTCTGTATACACACAGCAACTCATTATATATTGTCTAAATATAGATGATGATGCTCAGTATACCTGCTACTACTGACGCTGTTGTGACCACATACTACTCCAACAATAAAAACAGCACCACTTATCTCCGAGATGCTGATGATGTTCACTCTAAACAACAATGTGGTCAACAGACCCATTCAGACTTTAAAGAGGAGCTGTCAGAGACCATGATAAAAAAGTATAATGATTATAAATGCTAAGCCCCATTTAGGAGGCGTCAATGCCATTGTTGTTGTTATCCAGCGTATCAATCTTGTTGATTGATCATCGCGCTCTGGTGACATCAGTTTTATGGCCTCTGAAATGCGTCTCAGTGTTTTCACAATGCCATCCAATTAGGGTATTCCATTCATCATTGGGCTGGAGAATCATTATTAATTGGGTGGAGAGCCGACTGCCACTCCCCTGCCGAGGAGGGCAGCGGCTTCTGGAGATCGGGCCATTCATTCGCCGGTAAAAGAAATGAGGGGCTGCGAGGGTGCACGGTGCAGGGGGCCACGTAGAGTTACAAAACTACATACCTTTATGTACTTCATGGGCGTATTCAATCAGAGTAGACGAGATTACATGCTCTTTTTTTTTTTTTCTTTTTTTTTTACAATGAGTGGAAAAATCTGATCAGTATGTAGAAGTTGCTGAATTCAAAGACAATCAGTGAATCACTGCGAGGCTGCTTTACGACTGGTACATCATGATTAAATAAAAAGAAGTGATAAATGCATAGAAATGAACATGACAAGTTTCGATTAAGTTTTATGTAAATATTTTTCCACTTTCCGACGTAATTTAGTGTGGGCAGTTCCCTTGACTCCTCTGATACACACACAGTAATTTACCATTTCCTGTCACCTGCCAGTTGGGAGCTTCACTGGGAGGGCGTAATACTCAGGTTTGCCCCATCTCCCGCACCTGCCTGGAAATGATCCCTCACTGGCTTCCCAACACTAAAAAGTGCTAATTGTGTTGTTCGGTAACAGGTAAATGAACCTGGGTCTCTACATTGATATGTGAATATTTGGCCTGTTAGGAACCTGCGCAACCCATGGACATTTTTTTTTTGTTTCAGAAGTTTTGGTCATTTCAGAACTAATGCAGTGATGCAATTTTTTGTACCTTCATTGCCTCCAGATAAGCCGTCTGGCTTTGTGATGCCCGTGCTCTTTTTCCGTCTGTGTTTCTTGCGGTTGGCGTGAGGTGAAGGAGGTGGCTCAAGTTTAGGACTCGTCGCACTGCCCACACTGGAATTTGCAGGATCACTCGTCCCGTTGGCTGAAAAGAGAAAGATGGGGAAAAAAATCATTATTTCTTTTATGTTTAATAACATTTTTTGCAGTTTTTTTAAGGTTATCTTTGTTTTATACTCAGTGCCCATGTGGTTTAGGATTCACTGTCACAGCTTCGGCTTGTATCTACAGTTCCATGCTATACTAACCAGGTACAACTCCACAGTCTTTGCATAAGAGTCTCTCGTGAAATCTTATAATGCACCTGCCCCATTGGAGGGTCATAATTACAAGGGTACTAAGCTTTGGTTGAAGCCACTAAATTCTTGTTCAGATCATTTCAAAAGTTTCAAAACACTGATTTACATTACAAAGAAAAAATTACACACAGGAATATAACATTTTCAAATGTTATGAGTCACAGAAATTACCCCATGGATCTGACAATTTAACTTGACAGTAATGAAACAAACAAGTAAAGAATATAAATTGTTTGTGTTAAACAAAGTGCACTAAACTGTTAGGGGTAAAAATTAAACACTGAAATTAAGAAAATTAAAGTGAATTAGGTCATATCTATTATATTTGTAATATATAGATGAGGAACTGAAGGAGATGGATGAAGAGCAAGTGTCAAATTTAAAAATAAAAATGACTTCTTTCTCATTATTGCATTAACTGGTCATGGGCATAGTGTGAAATGGAGTAGATTTGAAAAATGTGAAACTTCCTTTAAAGATACACTAAGCCGGCAGCTGCAGTGTAACTTATTCAAGTCAGTAAGTGAGGAATGGTACGCACTATTATGTATCATTGTGAAATGACACTGAGTAATGAATAATGAATGATATTGTTGAAAGCTTCATGCAAAGCAGGGGCAGACTTGTCACAGAAATGTGTCCACAGAGTAGTGAGAGTTGGAAATGGCTTTGAGTGCTCCAAAAGTAACAGTGTGACTCCGGCTTTAGATGGAGTGAAGGACAGGTATGGGGCTATCAGTGAACAAATGGTTACCTACGTTAGCCTGCAGCAAAGCTCTCTATATGACTGTCTGAGAGTGACAGGGGGCTAAGAGCCGGTTTTGTTTCTTGTAAGTGATTTTATAAATGTGATATTAACCTGTGCTACCGTTGGGCAAAGGGATAGGAGGCATGGGACGATAGCAGGGGGTTGTCAGCTTGCCATCTTTCTGATTTCCTGACATTTGACATCACTTTCCCTTCTTTCCCCCTCCGGATGCCATTATGAATCTGGGAGTGGGGGCCAGGGGCCTGGGGGAAGGAGGGAGGGAGGGCCAGTAGATGGGCCCCATATTGCTCTCCTCTTACCACCCTGTGTGGTGCTGGCAGCCTCCTCCATTGTCTCCCATCAAAAGCTCATTGTAGTGTGGCAAACTCCATTCATTTCCCTGTGCACCGTCCCAGCCCCAGGGGTGGAGTGCAGGAGGACAAGGGACTCAGGGATTATTGCTGTTGTCGTTGCCAGTTGCACATGCTATAATGTGCGGCACTGTGCCATTAGCCAGTGTACAACATTAGGCCTAATTCGGTCATTACCTTTAGGGAGATGGGGCTGTCTTGGAGGAGTAAGATGGGCGCAGCAGGAGACTGAAGATGGCAACATGGGGGAAGAGTGGAGCTCAGAGGGCCCGGGGACGCATTGTTTGAGCGTGGGCAAAATATAGGAGACAACACCTGAGACACACACTGCTGTGTCCGTACTCAACTTCAGAGATTCATCATGATGAGAGTTGATGTATATAAGAATGTCATTACAGTCAAATTCATTAAAACTATCTCTAATTTGTTAAATGTAAGAGACCATCCTTAAAAGTAGTATCAATATTTCTGTATATATATAGCAATGTGTTGAAAAATAATAATGTTGATTATATGCCATCAGATTAATAAACATAACATTGGTGCTTGGACCACATGCATTAAGCTCTCTGGTGTTTTGAATGGCAGCACACAGCCACACATGTAGCAGCTCCTAGTCGAGGCGTCTGTTTCAATTTCCCTGCTCTCTTACAACAGCCCCCCTGAGACGAGTCATTAGCTGGCTCAGACAGCTGGGGGCACAGGGGTCCTCAATGTGGCCCCCCACCCCCACCCCCTACCTCCCACCCTCTGCCTTCTCCTCCCTCCCCATCCCAGCGTCTGTCCCGTCAGCACAGCTCCGTATGGCGGGGGGAAGACTTGAGCTCCAACCTGCCTCCGACGTGACAGCCAGCATTTGTTTAATGTCGCTTGGGGTTAAAGGGGAGGGCTGCCCCTCAGGGGCCCCAACCGTGTCATAAACACCTCTAATTATCAATTTCTGCCCCTAATGTTGTGGAAAATGACCCTGGCCCTGCTCATCCTGCACCTGAAACATATACTGGGTGATATACCTCCCTTTGTTTGTACCAGTCAGCCTTTAAGAAGTGTGTAACATGAAGTTAGAGGAGCAGGAAATGTATAAAACTACAGGACACACCAGTGAGCAACAACATCTAAGCACCTGAGATCTAATGGTTTTATATAATGTAAAGTTTCCTGCCTTTAAGTGGTTCTCACCTCAAAGCTATGCATGATTGCTAGATTTTATTTCTTAAGTTGAGAATTATAAAGTTGGAACTCGACTGATCTTGCAAGTCGAGAATTCACTGTGGCGTTATTAGCTAGCTGTTAGTGTGTATGAGGGCCATCAGGACCAAGCTGGGTAATGAAGCACACTGGGGGATCAGGAGTCTCTCTCCTACTCAACCAAGATCACCTGGGCAGCAGAATAGGTATCAGCCTAACCTGTGATTACAGTGTATTGCCTGCACTCCCACCACGGAGATGACAGTTTAAACATGCTTCAGGATGAAGGCTGTGGGTGAGACAAAGAGGGAGCTGCTAACAGCTTCCTGTCTTTACCAATGCCACACTGAAAATGAATGAGAATGAAAAAAGGGTGAGAGAGAGGGAGAGAGGCAGAAGGGGGGAATGAAGAGAGAGGGGGGGGGGGTCATTTCATTGTTATTCAAGAGGCTTCGGGTGAGGAGCACTATGATTCTGCCAGGCCCCTTGACATGGCAGCCCTGCCTGTCCTCAATCAAAACCAACGGCTGCAATTAATGGCAAAAATTAGAAACAATCACCGCCTCCCCCTTATTATCCTCAATTAGAGCGTACTAATCAAGGCCTGATCGCGCTCTGCTGCTCTCTCCAAACTAAATGTCAAACTTCATTACGGCCTGGCGTAGAAATCAAACGCCCCACATGCTATCACCCTCGCATCGGGAGGCCAAGGTATAAAACACAGTGCCACAGGAAAAGGCTATCTGTGCATTAACTACCTGTGTCCTGATATGCAAAATTAGTGGAGAAAAGGCACTTATATATAAATTAGCACAGAGCAGAACAGAGACGAAGGAGAAAATGAAAAGTGAGGTAAACTTAAGCCATACAAAACTGTGACAATAAACGCAGATTTATCGAGATGTAATGATAATCTGTTTTTAAAACTTTTCTCACAATTATTTTCATTAGGAATTAATTTCTTGATTATGTTACAGATTGATTTTTTTCCATAAAATGTATCAAAATAGTGAAAAATGACCAGAGATCAAGGTGACATATTCTGACTGTTTGTTTAGTGAGACCAACTGTCTAAATAAAACCCACAAGATATTCAGTTTGCTATCATAAATGACAAAGAAAAGCAACAAATCATCACATCTGAGAAGCTTGAACCAGAGAATGAAAAACCACTGTGTCAGAGCGGATGCTGATTAATTTTCTCTTAAATCAACTTATCTATTATTACCTTATCATTTCAGATCTAGTCTCCAGCGTCATTTTTTGTGTTTTACCAGAACAAAAATTTGTAATAGTACATTTTTAGGTAAAAGTAAAAAATCACCCAATAAGACAAATCGTAGCATAATTTCACTTATTATTATTATTATCATTATCATCTATTTTATTTCATTTTTTGACCATGAGAAAAATATCTCATCTAACAAACAGATAATATTGAATTCATTATTGAATGATTATCTATGGAGGGCACTGATTTGCAGTAATCCGTTGACTCTGGGAATGTGACATTACTCACACTTTGACCATGACTTCTGTTATTGTCATCAGCGCTCTTACATTGCTCAGACAACTGTTTGAACCTCTTGCTTTTAATTCAGGTTCAAAGATTGAAGTGTACCAAGGAGAGCAGGATCTAAACAAGCATCCGGTGCATTAAGAATGGGTGTCTTTATGAATGCAAGCAATAGAAAAATTGGGCCGGGATTTAATCAAAAATCTGCGCTCAATATTCAAGAGACGTTACTACCTCTGCTTCTGCCTTTGCTCAATAGGTTTACAAATGAGGACATTCTTTAAATAATATGGAAATGGTTACCTGGCTAAGATGCATTCATCCTCCAGTGAATCATCAATCTGCTGTTTTTGCATCTCAGAATCACATTTTGTGTTAACCTGCAACCTTCACCAAGGATAATGGAGTGATTGGGCTTGGTTCAAGTCAATTCAACTGGCAAAACATGAGCACCCTTCACTGTGGAACACCCTCTATTGATTATTGAAGGCACATTAGGATGGAAGATAAGAGGGTCGCGTTTCAATCAAGTTTATGTGTTCTGATAGTCCAGTCACACCACAGACATATCCTCCTGTTTTTATTCAGATTCTTCAGTTGTGCGGAGACAGAAAAACAAGATGTTCTGAGAAAGTTTTTGAGCTGCAACGACGTCCCAGTGCACATTACAAGCCTTTAACTGTCTGCACCGAGTATGCACTGATTACAGAGACACGCCTTCCCAAGGACGAACAACATATCTATCATTTGACGCAGTGTTTCTACTATTATTTTCAGCTCATTTGCCTCATTCAAGCTCATTTGTGGTTACCTTAAGAGTAGCATGAAAATAATTGAAGAAAATAGAATAATGGAGCAAATTGTGGATTTGATTTAGTTGAAGACTGGGTGTTGGTTAATGAGCTATGTTAATATTAAGGGCTTTTCAGTTTACCAAAGATGAAAATGGGAAATTCTAGCCACCTTATTTCCACTGCGCGCAACGTTTAGGAGTTCCTATTTGTCCGCTGCAGACCGGCCGCCAGACACACGTTCACAAACATCCAGTATGAAGCCTCTTTTTTTCTCCCACACACATATTATAATACGGACGCAAACACGCTCCGTGGAAAAAACTCACATACAAACAGCGACACAAAAATTTTCAGCAAGAACACACACACACACACACACACACGCGCTCATTTATTTGAGGACCCCACGAATCTAAGTAATTCTGCTTTGGGCATGCTGCTGATGGGAGACAGGGGTAGGGGGTGATGGAAGTGCCTGCGTCCAGGCAGAATTGATCGTTTGGCAGCTCCAAATGAGAGACAGGCTTGTCTGCGGAACCACGAGGGCCATGCAGTTGGACTCCAGCAGCGCTCATAAAGTGCGCTCTTTAAACTGCCGGGGCCCCTGGGAGCCCATGGGGAGGGGGGGAGCCGCCGCCGTGCTAATGAGAACTACCAGAGTGCAAACATGCATGGAAATGACTGTTATTCTGTTGATGTGCATTTAAGTGCTTTTTTACTGCCAACCACAAAGAGAGGGAAATAACTGGTGATGAATGGTACCCCCGAAAAGCATTCATTTTCCTCTTCGGAAGAAAAGAGAGGAAAACAGAGGAGGAGGGGAGGTGAGTGGGGGGTGGGGGGGCAGAGAGTAAGATGGAAGGTAAAGACAGGATGGGGGGGTGTGTGGGGGCAGACATGCATGGTGAATATATTATCTTACTTTACTCAAGTACAGTGACAAGGTGCAATGTGACACGGAGGCGGTAAGTGGAGATGCATCGCTGGCAGAAAGTTAACCTTCACTGTTCCTCTCCTCCGAACACGCCGCTTCTATCAAAGAGCAGCAGCAGCCTAAAAGGTCACAGCGATCACAGCCCTGATCAGCTAATCATGAAAATGAGGCTTGTTTCACCTGTTTGAGGAACCCAGGAAATGGCATCGCCATCAAACCACACCTTTAGTTCAGATCCATCCAACCTGTTTTAATTCACTGAACCTCTTGTCCTTGTGGTCGTAAGATGTGAATATTTCAATTGCACTATGCATGATGAGGGCTGTGGGAGGGGCTGTAGGAGTGTAGAAGGTCGGAGGTCTTACGGGCTCCGCTGCTTGTGCTGGTGTTGATGGCTTCATTCCACTGGTCGGCGCTGGACACGGAGAAGGAGCGCTGGTGCATGCCATCTTTACTGCCGGCAAACACTGACGCGCCCGTCTGGAGGGATGTACTGCTGTTGGAGTGAGGGGCGCCTGGAAAACAAGTGACAGACACAAGAAAAAATGAACCCTGATTCCTCACGTCCTCTGCAGCCGTTTGAATTCTTAACTCGGCCTGGTAGGACCGTTTTCTTTGAATGCAAAAAAGTCCTGTAAAGAAGTGGTAACGGTGTAATTGAGTTCAGAGTTTTTCGGTTGTTTCTACAGCACTTCAATGCTGCCGCCGCCTTATTTGTGCACATCTCTCTGTCAAACAACCCCCCCCAAACACCACCATCACCCTCACACAGACACACACAGAACCCCTCTCCCTCCGCCTCTGCCTCTAATTAGCCCTTAATTAACAAGATACACTCTGAACGCTAATTATCTCGCCTCATCCCTCTGACTGCCACATCGATCTCCACTGGCGTCAGCAGGCGTTCTCCCCCTAACTTCCAATCAGGCATGCCACAGACGCCTGGCTCTCTTTACTAATTCATGGGCTAGGCTGCACCATGTGAGGTCCTTCCCTCCTGTTTCGCGAGCAGCCGCTACAACACATCCTAACTACTCTGAAAAACTCATCCATACACTTCCAGTCATATGAGGGGAATCAGATTAACAGCTTAAAGCTTTAAAATGCATCAAACTGTGTCATGAAATACAATCATTTGTTGCAAACTTGTGTGATTTTGTTTAAAAAAAAAAAAAACATTAAAAAGAATTTAAGATGACGTTACACTAATAAGAACATATTTTATTGGATCTAAAAGAGAAGATGGGTTGTTTATGAATAAAATTTTCCACTGTATTTATTCTCGAAAAGTTGACACAATAACTCCATAATCAGATTTTAATGAGGTAAACAGATATCGCTCTGACACTGGAAGGTTAAAATTTCCACGGTTTTGTTTTAGGCAACAAAATAAAAAAGCCATCTCTGATTTTCTCAACAATGCTTTTCTCATCTTACAGGTATCACACATCAAGCCCTTTCATTCAATAATTACAAGAGAATATCAGTTTCTGATTGAGGTGACAATAACAGAAAATATAGTGTGTGGGTCGTGTGTAAAGTAAACTAAGCGGCACGGGTGCTTGTTAGGATAATATGTCCTACTCATTATCTAGAGTAATAAGTGTATCAAATTCACATAATCATGTCTAATTAGTATCAGTAATTATCTTGTTGGGCCCAGGAATATTAATCTTCAGGTCCCAGAGGGGAAGGAGCAGAATCGCAGCAAGAATGGGCGAGAGAGCGAGGGAATCATGCTGAGGAGCACTGACTAAATTAGCATGCTGAAATCAGAGCGGAGGAGGAGGAGGGGGGAGGAGGAGGAGGAGGGGGGGGGGGGGGGGCAGGGGGGGGGGCAGAGCCGAGGAGTTGGGGATACTGAAAAGAAAAATTTGAAACTTTGTTTATGGAAAAATGATGGATGAATGATACATAAAAGAAGCTCATGACTTCTATAAAAAGGCCTCTGATTGCTTGTATCATTACTGAATTAAGAGTATTTAATAATATGATCTATAAATCACCGAGGGTACCATGTTGCCAAGACCCGATACTACACAAATAAATGTTTAATCACCATCATCACTGTTTAAAGATACACTAATTCCTTAAACAAAATTTATTTTCTGCTATTAAAGGATTTACATTCTTTATTCCCAAAGTTTGACTCTTTGACGCCTTAAAGAAGAGAAAAAAAAAAAAACAAAACTCAGGTAACTACAAGGCAACTTCGATTGATATTTAAAATTCAACAATCACGTCTAATTGTCAAATTGGATGCTAATGATTAATGAATTATACATGGCTGTATCCATTAGTCCCCAGAGACCACTCCTGCATAAAGGGGAGGATAATGTAATTACAGTGGAGAAATAATCAGCCTGTGGCATTAAAAGCGCACTGTACGCGCAGCTCCAGCCAGGCCTGACGCCAGCACGTTTTACAGCTTTAACACTGGCACGTAGTGGACTGACGGTGACGAACTGCAATTTGGGATCTAAAGATTTAATGCTGGATGTCGCCAACTTCAGTGACCACAAGAGTGATGTGAGGGTCAAATACAAATACACCAAGTATTATTTAATTTTAATGAATACAAAAATAACACTAGGGTACAGCAGATCATTTTAGGTATTAAGAAGTAATAAGCCACTATAATTAACATTATTATGTATAGAATAAATCAAAGCTGAATTGGAGGCAAGATCAATATATTATCTATATATTTTGCAAACTGTGAAGTTGCATGAAATCTAGACAATGGTTGAAGTAAAGAAGTACTGTCCTATAGAATAAATCTATGGTTCTATTCTATGTGAGTATTTACATTTTCTGTTACTTTACACTTCTATCCCGCCACCTTTCAATGACTACCATTTTACATCATTTAATTTATTTGACAGCTGTAGCTATGAGTTACTTTGAAAATTAAGATTTTTTAAACAAAATTTATGAGTCGTTAATAAAATAGGATGTATTTTTTATAGATTAAACTGCCCAACAGCATAAAATATTAAAAATGAGCTCCACCTCATTCACCTATAGATACAACTTTAAAATACCTCTTCCTCTTTGATGCATAAGTAATAATAACGTGATGACATAATGATATAATATTTAATAATATGACACAGAGCAGCCCTGCTATTACATAACGAGTGTGTTTGATCTGTACTTCTACTGAATGGAGATCTGGAGTATTTTTACATTGTAGTATTAGTACTTTTACTTCATTAATAGATCTGAATACTTCTTCCACCACTGTATACTTCTAAAAAAGTAAATATTTCATAGTGAACTCCTGCACATTTCTTGTCAAAATTAATGAAAACTCGCAAAGTACAAAAGCCCCATAATGAGTATTTCTGGCTGCCTGTATCGTCATGTGTATAAAGAGATAACAAAAGCCATACAGTGTGTACTGCAGGCTATCCAGGGCTCGGGTGTTAAGTAGAGGCGATGGATTAGCGGGGAGCAGCGCTGCCTTGCCTCTCATTTCTCTTTAGACCGGGCCGTCAGTGGGCTGATGAGCCGTGACGAGGCCTGACCCCTCCGTGGAGTTGTTGCCATTATGTACAAGTAGTGGGATAATGAAGCATTCATGCTAATGTGGGCCGGGCAGCACATCATCTGCGGCTGTGTGTAATCCACCACCATCATCCCGACCAACGCCCAGACCCCCCATCCCCCCACCCCCTCCCTCCACCCCTGATACTGCTGCTGCTGCCAGTCTCCACACAAGTCACTCAGATATAGTCATAGTCAAACTTATCTATTATATACTGTCATCTCACATAATATATACATCAAAATAACTTTAAATACTTACTTAACACTTGTGTAGGGCATACCACCCTGATTTCTTTACTTATTTAAATACATACTTATCTTCCTTTTCCCCCTTCATTTAAGCTTAATGTAATGTAATATTGTAATAATGTGGTTTTGAATTGTCAAAGGATAAATTCCAGCTCACAGCTGCTCTTATGCCACACTGTCAATATGAGTATGACAGAATTTTGAGGCGATTACCACAGATAGTCCTCATGCGTTGGTAAAGTCTCTCTGTATATACATATTTTATGTGGATATATAGCACACAAATTGGATTCCAAATTGGTGTGAGACTTATCCTTAGTATACTTATTGTCACAGTAACCAATTAAAGAAGATAAGGTGAATGCACAGGGCACGCCTGGCACCACACTTTAATAGAGAGTGCGTGAAAGCTAGTTAGCAGGCCAGTGGAGAAGTGCTGGATTATGGCTGTAACATCCAGCTTCTGCCACTATAAGCGGCAGTTGTACAAATGTAGATTTTTGTTCACATTTGCATTACACTTGTTCATTTGGCAGAGACTTTTGTCCAAACTGACGTACAAATGAAACACAATCCAAGCCACAATAGATCAAAGCCAAGCCTTGAAAGAGCCCATTGACAAGTGCACGCTCATTGTATGAGACTACATCCACTTTTATACAACTAATAACTGTTTAAAAAAACTAACGGATTCAGTTCAAATGAACGCATTTGAAACAATGATGTGTGGTGTTCATACTTGAGTTCATCCAACAGGGTTGAGTGTGTTTAACAAAAAGGTTGGGACCCTCTGATTTATAGTACCCACACCAGGCCAGACTTGCACCAGCGTCGGACAGAGAACAGTCGTGTTGGCGCCGGCTGTGGCCTGCTGGGCAGTATGTATGTGTCTACTGGTTATAGACTGCTGAAGATCAGAGCTGGAGACAAACTGTGGTGCAGAGTGAGGAGGGACTGAGCTAAACACTTTCCTGAAATCTCCACCTCTTCCACATGTACCCCCACCCCCCCGCCCCTCACAGGATTGATTAAAAGTGACTGGGCCCATTAATACTTTGATACAATGTATCTGTCGCCAGTGACACGGCAGGATGCGTGTTAACAGGGAGGATCATATTTAAAATGGTTCCGCTCCGCACCCACCAAAGGAATTAAACCTGGCCGCTTGGCAAACTCCTGGGCGCATGCGTTCTCTCATTTACTCTCTGTCTTCTCAACCTCTCCTCTTCATCTTCCCATCTCCCCCATCCACTCTGCCCCTCCTTCTCTCTGTCGCTATCCCTCTTCTTCCAGTGATTATAAAGGTCTTTAGATCTAAGGAATGAATGAATTACCAAAGGCAAAGACAAGGCTTGTGATTTGGGCGCCGTGAATGAAAAATTACCCCTTTGTTCCCTTCATCAATTGCATGTCTAATGAAATCAAAATCCCGATCGCATAATCAGAAGAGGGTCCTCCACCCGGAGAGAGACCTGATGTGATTTGTAACCTTTCTTCTCCTAAGTGGAGATTAAGGCAAATCTCCCTCACATTGTTCCCTGACGTACAAATGGATGGCAACTGAAAATCTTGGGAATTTGCCATTGATGCGTCTTTTCCAAAGAAATGAATATGAGGAGAAAATAACATTGTTGGGTGAGAAAAAAAACAAAAAAACTAAAGGCGAAAACAAACCAGTTGGCGCCGTTTTCCCCAAAACCTTCTCTGGCCTGCTTTTGGTGGCCCTTTGAATGACTCCCCTCAACCTCACACTCAAGGTTAACAGTCTGTGGGATGAAACAACCTGGATCCAGTGTCCTCTGCTGTGTAAACTCCTACATCTTCCTGCTTTTGACTGATTAACCCGTTCAGCGGTGGCAGCACTTTGGCCAAGTTTAACAGTGACCGGCCTGGACGGCGCTAATGTTCCCTGATGACCCATCCTTGGCTCTGCACCCGCTCTCGGCCGGTTTAGCTTTAGCCCGGGTGATGGAAACACTGTGCCCATTTCACAGCTGATGAAGGACCCCGCCTCCCTCTGGGGATCACTTTGCTAATTAGTATTAATTACTCTTAATCCTAAATCCAATCACTGACTTCCACTCTTTATGCCTGCCAGACTCTCTGCAGCCTCCGGTGGCACAGCGCGCTGGGAGAAGAGCAACTATTTTTAAACTTGTGAGGTGGAGAAACCCTGACACGATGCTCAGGACCAAACTGTTATTTGATGCTGCGACCCCTCTACCACAGAGGATGAAAAATAACTAGGTCAGTCTCATAACGGTGTAATCGTCCAGTAAAAACACACCTTAAAGTGATATTTTCTTTATATGGGCATGTTGTTTAAACACAATTTCTAATTCCCTGTCTGGTCATTTAGAGGATTAGTAGATTTCTCATAGAAGCTCATTAAGTCATCATTTTGTACAGTTTACTATGAGGCAGCTAATTTACATGAATGAAGCATATAGAAAGTAGATAATTAACCTTCAGGATACTTTCACAAAGTCTCTGAACTATGTCTGCAACAAAGGAATACTTCATCAACGTTTCATCTGTCTCTTGTTCTCTCGACTGATTGATCGTTTTATTAGGAATATATTGAACAAATATGGTCACCGTTTCCTAAAGTCTGAGGTGATGTATTCAAATTGCCTGTTTTGGTGATAAACAGTATAAAACCCAAAAATTTACAATGGTATAAAACACAGAAAAGTGGGAAATCCTCACACTTGAAAAACTGGAACTATCAAATGTTTGTCTTAAAATAATTGACTGATTATCAGAATTCTTTCAACTGACTAATCTGTTAAACAATTAAACATAAAATAATGCATCTTACATATGAAAATCCACAGTTGTACCCATTAATCTGTCCTTTAGCCTTGTAATGAGGCAGGGGCTCATACCTGTGTTTCCTATGCCCAGCTGCAAGGTGCTGCGGTCCTTGGTGAGCCCGTTGGTTTTGGGACTTGCAGTGGGAGCGACGGTGGCCACCGCTCTGGGCGGTCGCTTCCCAGGAACCTTGACTGTGGTCCTCAGCAAGTCAATCTCTTTCCCATGCACATTCTGCATGTAGTCCTGAATAAAGTAAAAAATAAGAAGAGCTTGACATCAGAAAGTGGTCTGCACTCTACACAAGTTAGAGTCCAAATATTTCCAAAATATTTTCCTCAGTTCAGGGAACTGATTATACACAGTGGACCAACAAGAATCCAGGAATTATGGAAGAAAAACAAATTAAAAGACTATTCAATTTCCATCCCCATTAGTCACAACCCATCTTCAGACCTTCCACTAAGGGTGTGTGATAGTGGAAAAATGATTGTAGAGCCATTATACATCACCTGTGCCCACGCCGTCTATCCAAACAGCGAGATGTTAGGCTTAATGAATGCAAACAGTCTCATTCTCTTTCAATTTGGCCATTTGATTTGGTTTAACGCGACTACCGCCCCAAATGTGGGAAGCCAAGGTGAAAATCATTGGGCTCAGCAGAAAAAGACCCAGATAGTGGCGAGCTCGGCCTTTGCCGTCCCCCCACCGGCTCCTCTGTTTTATTACCGTGTCATAAAGCACTCATTTCTTTCCCAAGCCTCCTCGCTAATTACCCAGTGAGCGCTCTCATTTCATTTTATTGCTGGAATTAACAGCCAGATCGAAGCGTGCAAAGCTATTAAGATGTGTGATTAAGCCACATTCAATTAGTTTCTACAAACAATTTAATTGATGTAGCAGATAGAATTAACAGAAGGTGATTGTGTGGATGGCTTGGCTGACTGCGAAATTAAAGGTTCCCCTCTTCCACTCTCAGTCTGTCTCCCTCCCTCTTTTCTTCTTCCCTCTCTCCTCTCCTCAATCTCTCTCTTCCCCTTTTCTCTTTCTTACTCCGGCTCTGCTCCACTGCTCAAAATGAGCTTGAGCTGTTACCGTGCTAATGTAACTGTCTCCCTTATTTCACCTCCCTCCGTAAGTCAACAGACTCATAGATTCATAGATTGCCCCGATGACCTGTAATAGCTGTAATGATCAAGAGATAGCCTGTTCAGTCAATTACATACATCACTGTAGCACAGCGCTGCTCTACTAATAACTGCTTGTAAATTAAACCACTAACACACTGTCAGTGCAACAAGGCCACACACAAGGTTCACGTCTAACTGTTGGGCTTGCGTTCAAAGTTCAAGCTGTCTCATTAGACACAAGATGCTGCTAATATCTTCCATCCGACCTGGCCAGAGGATGTAAACACACCAAACACTGGCGAGTGACGGGAGGAATCAAAGGGATTTTTTCAGAGGGATTGGCATTTCTGAGTGTGACACGGGGCTCCTGAGCTGTCTGCTGCCAGCCAGCCGAGTGTTTAAGAGGTATTAGCGGCCCAGCGGGATTCTGACAAAGATGGATGTGGGAGGCTGGTCAGGCTCTGCTGCCATGCGGTGGGAACCATTATAAATACAAGCCAGCGTGGAGTCCGGGCACAGCGGGCACGCAGCAGCACAGCCATGTCTCCATTAGCCAGCACTGGGGATGGGCACTGCAGAGGGGGGGGGGTCAGAGATGACCACTAGAACACCCTGTTTCTTAATGCTGAGCTTGAAGTCACAGGGTTAGCTAATATAGACGTTATATACAGCGATAATTCTCTATAGCAGTGGTGTTAAATAGGATTGCATCAAGAGAATCGTGCGCGGTGGTTGAAAAACCCCTACATTAAAACCTCCAGCAGCACCCTCGAGTACAAACAGTAGTCTAACAAACAACATAAAGCCGATTGGAAAAGAAATGGGAAGGGAAGGGAGGGGGGAGGGGGGGGGGTTTGAAACTCACATGTAAACTGGGGTGGTAAGTGAGGACGCCATTATCACACAGTGTGACATATTTCTTTTTCCACTCCTTGTTGAGGGATTTGCCACTTCGCTTCAGAAGGATTCCCTGTAAGAGACAAGACATCACGGTGAGCTTATGCTCTTCCCAAAGCAGCGTGGTGGATGATAGGAGCCATTTTGGATGTTAAATACCATAAAGCAGCATTATTATTGATATTACAGATTTGTTATGGTGGTTACATTGAGCACTTTGGTTGTGGTAAGTCAAAAAGCAAACATACATCAATGTAAAAGACAATTATAAAACAGCATGGAGGTGAAAATGTAGAAAATGAACAGTCATTTGTAATTAAATCCCCTTAAACGTTCCGTCTTTATTATAATTTGTTTGGGTGACAGGTTTAATGATACATGGGTTTTTCCTACTATGAACAGCTGAAACTCCAAAACTGGCCAAGTTCCTCTGGCTGAGAGGCCATTCAGAAAGGGAGACAATCCAATTTGCCAGACCTCCTCCCTGCATTCATACACATAACATGCTGAACTCTGGAAGACCTCTCAATCCTGGGATTAGGGAGTGTGATCTCCCCTCTTCAAAGCCCACTCAGGTCTTATTCTATTCTACTTTATCTTCTGGGGCCTTTTAGGGCCTCACATGGTTTTCCTTATCTGTTGAGTAAATCCACTGGTAAACAATGCAGTTCCTCTGCTGGAGGTGACCAAATGCTGCTGAGTGTAAGGGCCAGGAGGCTCTCTGGGGTTAAATAGTGAGGAGGGGCGCGCTTAATTAGGGGATTAAGACGGGGGCAATGTTTGTGCTTTTACAGCCAGAGCCCGAGTGTAGTGTTTGTGTGTGTGTGTGTGCTGTGTGTGTGTGTGTGTGTGTGTGTGTGTGTGTGAGTTGAAGGTGGGTGGGTGGGGTTAAAGGAGTTGTGTTTTGCTAGGCAGGCCCATCCTGCAGGCTTTAATCCTGATTAACACATCAGGAAGAGCTGACCCTCGGTGACCTGGGCACCAGGCTGTTTGCCGACAATCATCCTAATCCGAACCCTGATTCATCCAAGGAGGAAGGGGGGGGGGCAAGTGCTGACTGTTGGCTGCATGCTGGGACTCAAGAGTTTTGGCTTCTTCATATCTTATCAGTAAACCTTTCCTTTCATAGCTTCTCCCTGGAGCAGAACTTTCAAACATGTCACAAACGTGTTCTTTAAATCTACTGAAATCATTCAATTATAAAGTATAGGACAATATTTTCCAATGTGTCTTATCCTACAATGGAAAAAAATTACTGACAAAACAGATCAGCATCAGTGTTGTCTGTGTGTTGCTGAAACTCAATAAATTCGGCCTTTTTATTTTATTTATTAGTACTGAACCAATTATTAGCAAATTTCAATCAAATTAAAAAAAAAAAAATCAAAGAAACAAAAAAGGAATAAAAGGGAAAAAAATTCAACATTTCATATTTTGTATATATTAATTAATTTAATTGCTGTTTAATAAAAAGACCTTGATCAAAAGTAAGAATCATACGTTTGACTTAAGTATAAATGTTATTATTAATATCAGAACGCCTCAGTTAACTCTTTTGTAACTATTGATACTTTTGATGATTTGACAGGAAGAAACACTGTGTCCTTCAATCAATAAGTTGCTTACTGCCCGGACTCCTGCTCTCAATTTAGTCAATAAAAGAACTGTAAACACTTTTTAAATGGCTCTCTAATCATACAGAGTAAATGATCCAGTCACAGGGCCTCTGGCGACTTTATAATGCATGTTTTACAAGCATATACAGTATGTTCCTCATCTCATGGTCTTACTGAAGCATACATAAATCTATACACGCAATCAGTGTGGAGTTCCATATATTTATCAGAGCTGTGAAGCAGATCAATAAAGATACAAAGACATTTATGTGAAAATCTTTACACGTGCAGACAAATTTTTCTGCTTTCTTTGAACAGTAGCCCATTATGGCTGTGATGTATCTTTCATAAAGCTTGTCACTTTCAGTAACTGGAAGCTGGACAGATGATTTGAAATTATTTATCATAATTGTTCTCTTGTTTGGCACTTTGGATTGGTCTCTATGTGATAGTTTGACATCGAAAGGTAACAAGTGTGCTTCCCCTCTACACTGACACACACACACACACACACACACACACACACACACACACACACACACACACACACACACACACGCAAACACACACTCACAAAAAGATGAGTGTGTTCATCCTGTGTGACATAAGGAAACAGGCCGATAGTCAGACGCGCTCTCTGTGTCCACACAATTGTCATATCTACACAGAGGAGATAGTGTCTTTCCCTTCTTTTGTCAGACGACCAGGAGAAAAGCTGCATCCTGCCACTGTGGCTGACTGATAGGCCGGCCCTTTGTAACAGACCAAGGAGAGGGGGCGAAAAAGTGTGTGTGTGTGTGGTGTGTGTGTGTGTGTGTGTGTGTGTGTGTGTGTGTGTCTGTGCTGGGGGTGAGGGGGTCGGTGATGGAGCAGGAATGCACTCACTGCAGCATTATTATCCTCACTCACTATTTTTATAGATGGGTGGGGGGGGGGAGCAGGGGGACCGGGCGGGACGGGGCGGGCTGGGGTTGTAAATTTGGCCTCTATGGGGTGAGGAGGGGGTAAGGGAGTGGTAATTAAGCTTCACATTGACCACTTTGATCTCCCTTGATTGTGCATTTGACTGGCCTGGAGATCACACCAGTACCCCCCCCCCACCACCACCACCACCACATCTGTAACCCCCCCCCTCCCTCCTAAAAAAGTTCTTTGGAGATAAAGAGGGAGATGGTTTATCTTGTCAAAAGTTGCCATGATACTGAGGGCAGTTGGCCCTGGACTCCTATACTGTATTGGATAAGTGGGAGAGTTTACAGTAAAGATTGCTCAGAGGGTGATTCTGTTTAATCTGTGACAATCAACCCACAGCTCACCTGCAGATTAGCCAGGTTCTGCAGGGAATTACACTAATCTACATAAAAACCAAGAGCTGCACTGAGATCAAACAGAAACGATGTTTTCGGAATGGCCACCTAAAAGTTTTAAATCACCATATTGTTTTTTTTCTTTTAGGACATTTATGGCAATTTTTCCTGAGGTTGGGCACAAATAAATCCACAAATTAAACTTCTGTCATCTTAATCTGTATGAGTCTGATATAAAAGAGATACAACACGTCTTCATTGTCAAAAAAAATTTCAGTATCATGAAGTGTATCTATTACACGCACATCTACTATTACTGACAGACAGATGGACTGATAGATACTGTATCTGTTTTAACAGTGGTTTCCCCAAAGCGTTATTTTCTGATTGAGTGAGGGGGCTTGGAAGTGTCACCCTGTCATTATTTCAGATGGACCAAAGCCTTGGCAATTTTCTTTTTTTCGTTCTTGGCCCCACGTTTTCAAAGAAAAAAGAAAAAAAAAGGACATTACCTTCTATCATCTGCAGGTAAAGAGGATAATATAAGGATGCTGACCCATTTTCAAAAGCCCTCATATAATCATGAGTGATTACTAATCAATGTGTCAATTACGTCTCCTTCAGTTACACTCGGACCTTTGGAAATGATCCTCCCTCAAAAGTGTGTAATTCGGTGTTCACTACTACCCGTCTGGTCCTTTAAACCAATGCATGAATATATGAAAAGAAATAAAACTAGGGAAATAATGAAGGAAATCATAATGAAATGAAAAGACAGAAGCAAAAACTCAGATGGGAAAAAATGTGAACTATTTCAAAACAGAAAACGACTGATTATTTAATTTAGTGCAGAGTAACAGAATATGAAACCACCTTTTAAAAAAAACAAATTGTCAGGCTAATGATCTAATGAAATTCTCAGCTAATTAATAGCCATCTAAGTTGATTATATGGCTATGCATGAATTAACTTTCATGAGAAAATTCTACCCACAGACGATTATCAGCAATAATAACATTACCACTTGGACCAAATGCTTTTATACTAAAAAGGTACAATCCATGTTCCAGATTTAAGTTTATTATCAAAATTGATCACGGAATTGGATTCTCTCCCACATTAATAAGTTTAAATACACAGATTAACTCAAGTCTATAAAATGTGTACGTTTGTCATGCTGTGATAAGTATATTTAGACTGGCAGTGTTTATTAACGAGATTAAAACAGGCCTATAATATCAGTTATGGTCATGTAGACAAAATGATTATTTTCATTAGCTGTAAAATAACTCTTCAATGACGCATGTAAATTTATGCAATTCATGATGTCAGAAATGAAACGACTGTGCCTTTAAAATATCACAGCTGTATATTTTCAGTTTGATAGGTGTGTGATTTACACAAACAGGGACATTTCTTTGCTAATAAGTGATCTGATGTTATGTCTGAGCCCCCAGCCTTCTTCTCTCTTCAGCTACACTTGTGCTGGCATTGAAGTCATTTGTTATGTTGTATTATGTCGCCATCTAGTGGTTACAGCGCCACATGGCTTTGCCCAAATCACACTGGTTAAAACTCCATGAACTATCCACTGTGATTAAATCTTCAAAGCACAGCATATCAGTGTTAAACAGACATCCACTGACACAAAAAGGGATCATACTTACCTAGGGAACTATGGGAAATGTAGGAGAAAATAAATAAATAAATAAAATAAAATACGAGTAAAACTGCTTACCTGTTTGATAGGTATGGCCCTTCCACTGCCTATGCTGTCTGTTTTACTGTCAACGCTCTTTGCTTGCTCACTGGCTTTCCGTGACTGCAAGAAAACAAGAAAGTCAGTCAGCAACTGAAGCGACACACTAACGACGAGGCGCAGTGGGAGTCGTGGGGTGTGAGGTGAGTTTTTGGGTGTGCTTATGTATGTTGGGGTGAGCATGTGTGTGTGGGTGTGGGTGTGTGAGGGAGGTAGAGAGAGGGAGAGGGAGAGGGAGAGAGAGAGAGAGAGAAAGAGGGAGAGAGAGAGAGAGACTGGGGGTCAGAGGAGGGAGGTGAGGGTTTTTTGTTTTGAGCGTTTGCAGTATTTGTGGAGAAACTCGACGTTGCAAAATAAAAGTCTCAAAAAGAAGCTTGAAATTAACAGACAAGCAGACCAGCGGAACAAACAGCAGTAACATCGACGTGCAAGTTCAAAAGAAAAAATTAAAAAAGAGACCAAACCAAGACCACACTAGACACATCTCAACACAGAGGAGACCAAGGACGATCACACATTGAGTCATGACTCAGCCCTGAAACCCTTTGGGAAGGGGGAGGGGGGATCCTTCCCTCTGTTTGAGACCCAGAGCGGGCCCTTAGTGGACCTGCAGGCCAACTGCTGCTACACCCAGTGTAGCTTCAGCTGTACCTTTAGCATAGTTGCACTGATGCACTGATAAGGGCTTTTGTAGGTACATGAGTTAAAGTTCATAACAGGTTAAAGGGAGAGAAGGGAAAATGGTTATTTTAAGAAGAAGACTTCAGTACACGTTGGTTCCTCTGACCTTTGACCTGCAAAACCTGCTGGGACATAAAACTTATTTTGCAACTGTCAAAACAATTGAAGTGTCAAAAAAAAAAAAATGCAAGAAATACATGAGCATTTCAAGTTCCGGTTCGTGTCTGCGGTAGGAAAAAAGGTTAGACAGTTAATATAACTTTACATGGAAATAAATCATGTAAAAAATAACCTTCCCACCCCAACACAAATAAAGAGATGAGGTACAGGCAGGGACAGACATGAGTGTGTATGGTCTCACTCAGAACATGAGAAATGTCCAGTCACCAATGGAGAAGAGGTAGAGTCTGAGTTCAAGTAAACCAACTCTGGTGTTTGTATTTTTTCCAACATTTTATTTTTTTATGATGACTTGTTTAGCTTCTATACAGACACCATACAAAGCAAGTCACAAATTCACTTCAAAATATTCAACAGATTGAGCCAAACATTGCAGTTCCCACAAAATATAGGATGGACAATAAAGGCATTATTTCATATATTCCTTATATGTATGTACTTTTTATAGAGTACCATTGTAAATAAAATACAATACAAGATATACAGCAGTCTATATTTTCGTCAATCCGTTCATGATAGAAAAGCGATTATGCAAGAGTTCATAATCTCTGTACCAAACCTAAACTGAGAAAAATGAAAATAAATAAATGAATAGGAAACAATTGAATGTGCAAAAATAAATAACTCAAAATAAATAAATAAATAAATAAATAAATAAATAAAAGAAAAACAAATGTTAAGTTTAACTACATTCATACAAGTCGGTGCAACCCAGTTTCATTTGTTGGCAACTTTCAGTATAATATCTCTGTAATACCTCAACACCCTGACACACTACCCTGATTTTTTATGAAGGCCTTCATAAAATTACCCCAAATTACTCTAATCTAAAATACCTCTATGATAACACATTTATACCACATTTTTTCCATTCAATACTTCAATACTCCCTGGAAAATAAGCAGGAATCAAATAAAAAAACAGACCAAATGAATGTAGGAAAGTCTAAAAGGAAGAACAAAAAAAAACTTGGCACCTCTAGTCCTTGAGTCCTCATTTATGGCAAAAAGGCAGTGTGATGTCATGTAAGGAAAAGTTGTGTCCTTTGGGTGGCTGGATAACAGTTCCAAGAGTGACTTGACTGTACAGCGTGTTTTTGTATGGGATGTCTGAATGAGAGTGGGGGGCGCGCGGGCAGGGGTGGACGGGGCATTTCCAGAAGAGTCCCTACAGTCTGTCTCACTTCGTGATATTCGACAGTCTACTTTGAGTGCGCTCAGACACTCAAATGGACTCGACTTAAGCCTGCGTTAGACGCAAAAGTCCTATGGTTTCCGTATAGTGCGAGTTCTATGCATTACCCTAAATGCCATAAAGCACCAAGGGTAAAGCAGTGACAAGCTTTAAGTCCTCAATCAATAATCTCCTCTCTCTATCAGGATTGGCAAAGCAGGGGGACTCTTTTTTCTAACCATCATGCTCTTCTAATTCGGAAGGAGTTGGAAAGCCCTTTTTGTTGAAGAAAGGTTGGAAACAGAAGCACATATCTGCAAATATTGAAAAACAGTGTCAAATGGTTATTTATTTTTTGTTGTCGTTTTGTTTCATACGTGGAGATCCAGCAACAAGTCAAGGGACTAAAAACATGAAATGGGAAACGTCGAATGGCAGACATTAATAAATGGACTGAATGAATATGAACGGATGAGTGGGATGGAATTAGGTATAAAAAATGTCTTAATATTCTTCTAAACTCCTAAACAGTGTGCTTTTCAACACGAAAAAGGGACAGACAGCCTGAAGACGTCAGGAAACCACAGACAGATTACAAAACAGATTGTTTAGAGTTTTAGACCATGGAAGCACTAGGAAAGAATAATGTGTACTGTGCTGACACCTAGTGGCCGAGGACAGTTATGGTAAAAACTGGCTTGAAATGATTGTGGTTGGTGAGATTGATTTGTGAGGGCGGTGAGAAGACGGAGTGATAAGACTTTCTGTAGTAAAGCTTTGAGTTTTCATTACGAAAAAAACAGCAAAACTAATGTACTTTTAAAAATTCCTCAACTATTTCAAGGGGCTTTTCTAATAAACGACATCTGATGTTTTTGTCGTCAGATTAAATTTGGGCCAAAGATCTGAACCCAAAAGTAATTATCTTTACTCTCCAACACTGTTAACTCAATAAACTGCACGTTGCAAAGGATATTTTTCTTAATTCCAAGAGTCCCAATGCCTGTGCCATGAAAGTGACAAATATTACTTTTATATCTGATTACAACTGGACTGGAAAAAGTTCTTGCAGCAATTTTCTCCTCTGTACCATTAGAACAAAATACCTTGTATGTAATGATTGAAGTGAGTCTGTTATTGATCTGACAAAGCTCATCTCCTGATGACATTAAGGCATATTTTCTTTCATTGGGTACTTCTCTTCAAACTCCCAAAATTAACAGAAAGTGAACTACTTACAAGTGTGGCTAGAAAACATGAATGGCAACCGGCACTCTATCGGTGACTAGCAGGACTTTTTGAGAACTTGTATTTTGTAACACATAGGTCAATTTATTTTTAAAACGGACAAAGCTAGGAAAGGGACATCCTCGACACCGTTGCTGTGTTGATGAAATATTTTCTCTTTCGGTTGTTTTGGAAAATGGCAAAAAGGTTGGCATTGTACGTCTTCCTCTCCTTAGCCCATCGCACTCTTCAAGTGTCACTGAAGAAATGTCGACATCGCCCCGTTTACTTTCCGTCCCCTCCTCCTCATCCTCCTCCGCTTCCTCCTCCTCCTCCTCCTCCTCCTTTCCTCCCTCACCCTCCCTCCTCCCACCCTCGGCTCGCCGCTCCTCAGAAGGTCATGAGCTGAAACTCCCGCTCGGCTTGCCACTCCGGCACCCACACTGGGTAGGTGGCGTGCTTCGGCATCTCCATGATGCGGACGGGGAGAGGCTCATTTCTCTGGTGGACATGGTTAGTCACTACCTAGCAGGGGGGGAAGGGAGACAACAAGGGGAGCTAGCACACAGCCTGTACTGCTCGGAGGCCACAAAGCCTGCGGCTCCCACAGCAGCTAGGGGTAACAGGGTGAAGGCGGTAGGAGACATAGAGGAAGGGGGGGAGTAGATAGGGAGGTTAGAGAAGGAGTTAGTTTGAAAGAGATGGGGGAGAGAAGAAAGCAGGAGATGGGAGATGGGGTCAGAGGGCAACAGGAAATAGGTGAGGGGGAGCAAGACAGGTGGAGGAGAAGGGACATTTTAGAGGTAGGGGCGTGGTATATTTACGAGGGAGGAGTTAGGAAAGAAGAAATCTCATGTAGCCTGATCTCTGTCTCATAAAGCTCACAAAGTTCTGGAAAGAAATTTTTTTTAAAAATGAGAAAAAAATTGGGGACATCTTAACTTTTGGAAAACCTGAGTCAGCCATTCAATTAGTTGGGAATTTAAAAATGCATTTTGGCCATTTTTGGAGGTACAAACAAGCTCTCTATAGAATTATATCATTGATTTGAAGAATAACAAGACCATATTTGGTAGGTTTTCCACAGAGCTCCCTGAGCTTGAAGAGGCCGAGGTCTGGCTATGTGAGATTAGGAAAGGCTTAGCAGCAAAGAAGGAGGCTGGAGAGAAGAAGAAAGGAGGAAAGAGGGGTGCAGGCTGGGTAGAAGAAGAGGGCAGAGGCTACAAGTGAAAGACAAGCTTAGGACAGCTAAGGAAATTAGAGTGGTTAGTGCACACATATGCTTTTGGTTAGAGCAAAGGGAAAATACGACAGGACACGGGGTAAAGAGCAGGCAGACAGGGGTCGGGATACTGGTGTGGTAGTGAATCTAATCTCGGTGGTCGATATCGGATTCGGGCCAGAATAGATGTGACTGGAGTGAGGATTGGGGAGTAATCTAGACTCAGCGAGATGGTTAGTGGGCAGTTAGAGCGTTTCTTATGTGGAGCTGTGGTGTTAGACGGTGCTGGCATGCGTTCTTAGCAGCGTGTAAATAGGCCATAGGCTGGCTGGGACTTTTAGTTTAGCTCGGTCAAGCAGGACAAAGTGGCATTGGCGATTTGTTGCTGCTGTCTCTTCCCAAAAGGGAAGTCACTGCAAAGAAAGGATCTAGTAAAAATAAGAGGGGTGGGGGGAGGGAGGTCAAAGATTTAGACAGCGCAGAGGGCCCAGTTTGTTATGGGTGAGATGAGAAACTTAATCCATGTGCACTTACTACATCCAATTAGAAAAGAAAAAGGCATGAAACATGAAAAGAGTTGACGATTTTTTTTCCACAGTGTTTATCTTTGATATTTGCTTTAAGGTTTTATTTTTATTAGTATTCTTTTTTTTGGAGCGTTTTAGGGAGCTAATGTAATTTCTATTTAGTCTTTTTCTCCTTTGCCCATTGTGCTGTGTGAACAAGACGCTTTCTTTGCCTGCATCGGAGGCAGGAGAGGTGGCTTTGATGCATTTCGAGCTACCTGTCTCCCTCTGGTGGACAAAGTGTGCTTGGCAACATGCCTCCTAGTAGTGTGAGTGGGTGTTGCTTTGCATCAGCTGTCGCATACTTACTGTGAAAATGTTGGAGCGGCGCTTTGACTGCTTCCGGATGGGCGTGGGTGTGTTGGAGGCAGCGATGGTCTCAATGCGCATCTCCCGCTGACTTATGCTGGGGGTGGAGGGAACAGAGGAGGAGTAGTCACTGAATGCACCCCCACCATTGGCCGCCTGGGGAGAGAGAGAGAGATTAAGAGGAAACGACAGAAAGAAGAAGGGAAAATGCCAGGGGGACGGGGGGCAAGAGATTGAAAATGAGAAAATGAGAAAATGGAGAGGGAATAAAAACAATAGCAGGTCACTGTAGGATAAATTTAATGCACACAATTATAATAACAATAATTTCATAAACTGAGTGTGTTGGAGACTTAACGTAACAGTCTAAAGCTTAGAGTAAAGTGAAATGATCAGTAAGTAAAACAGAGCGCCGCTGTCTGTGAAACTTACCTGGTTAATATGAACAGAGGGGATAGATGCAGCGGGGACTGATGAATGGCTGGGAGAGTTAGGGAGAGATTTGCATGGACCAATTGAGAGCTGCTGCTTTTTCCTCATGGCCACAACCTTCTGGGCAACTGGAGGAGAGAGTGGCAAAGACACAGTAACAGACTGTTCATTAATCCGTTCAAATTCTTGATTCTGGTGAATCAAGCGGTGAGAATCTAGCGACCACAATAATCCAACTGCTTCTGTAGATGGCTGTGTTATGGTGCTCCCCTCTCACAATTCAGCATGGGCTACATACTGTGGTGACATATAGGCAGCTTGCACTATTTCAAAAAGAGAGAATGTAAGAGCTTGAGGCATTTATAAACCTACACAGTCAGCAATTTTAAATATACATACACGGGAGGATGGAGAAAAAAAAAACAGAGGAGGAGAAAAAAACAAAAGAGAATAAATGAGAAAACCAAATGAATGCAGATGCTCCCATATGATGGTGGGGGGGGGGGTCACTGGATGGTGTGATGAGTATGAAAACGATGTGAATCATACGCCCTCGCAGTTACCAGATCTCAACCCAATCGAATAATAACTGTGGGAGATTTTGGGCCAACAGTGCGCTCCACCAGGCAGCATCATCAAAATACCAAATGAAGGAATATCTTTTAGAAGACTGCTACTAGATAGACTTGTATGATATAAAACTTGTATAAAAGGCAGCGGATCAGCAAGTGGTTTGTTCAGCTAAGACAGAGGAATGGTTTATTTATTAAATTAATGAATATGTATGTCATATACTAAATAAGTGCTTGATGAAAGTCCATTCTCGTTATTTTCTGATAATGTTGGTCACCTGTTATCTCCCACCACTGCATATGATAAGTGTCTGGGGCACTAGCATAAACCATTAGCATCAACAGATACATATTAATAGCACAGGAGTTCTCATGGGTAAGTTCTGATGGACACGTCTGCCTGATGTTTAGCTGACATGCTAAATTTCAGGGATGAGATTTTTTTCCCTGTGCCATTACAATATCATGAAAGATTTTCACTTAGTTTTCCCTGCACACAAGGAAAATATTGTAAACGCGGCCACAGCGCATTTCATTTTGCACAGCTGCAGGTCTGAGCAGACACAACAAAGGGTAACTGAGGGGACAGTTTGTCTGCAGGTTTACAGGAATACAAAGTGTTCGGAAAATGTCAGTAATGTGTTTAGAGCGTGCCACTATTTTCTGTTTTCCTAAACACAACACTGGCATTAAGGCTCAACAAAGTAAGCAAAGCTAATTCCAGTCAGAGGCATATGAGCGCATTATCTAAACCACCTCAGGCCATTTGTTTTCCAGTAAGGTAATAAGCAACATACTGCTAAGTGGCTCATGCACATCTCCAGGGGGGGAAAAAAAGGTACCTCTATTTTCAATTTCAAGAAAGGTAATCACACAAAATGATACTTGCAATTTTTTCCCGTCATTCACTGAGCTTTGCAGTGTGACGTTAGCCAAATGAGACTGTTGTCTCCATCTGAACAACCTGATTTGCCGTGCAGTTGGTGCAACCCGTCATTTAATTCATGGCACACTCGAGTGAGGGACTGGGTGGAGCGAGAGGGAGGGAGGGAGCTGATGTTCGAGGCTGCGTGATGTGAATTAGCACTGAGGGAAAGAGAGATGATTTGAAGTTGTGCTGACAGCTGGGACCATAACGCCTGGCTGCCTGCTGCAGCATGGCAAATACAGAAAGAAGGCCCATGATACAGAGCGACTTCTCCAGACAGCCAACACTCCTTCATCTCTTTTAATTATTTCAAATTGGGCTTCAGGAAGCAATTAAGGCAAGGAGGGAAGACAACGTGCCTGTGCATCAACAGTCAAAGAAATGCAAAGTGAAAGTTGTGTTACATATTCAGATGTTTTGTGAAGGGGTGACAGGCTTTCAAAAGGAGCTGCAGCCTTAGGGGATAATGTGCCAGAGTTGAAGCAGTCGACTTTCCAAATGACAGTTTCATGACTTCAATTATGGATTCAGGGAAAACTCAAGAGTTTCCAGACACTTTTAAGACACATTAAAAGTATATTTCATCATTTATACACAACTGAATGTTAACTTGTCTCTCGCTTAGAGCTCCACATTTGTATGCAATCCTACGTCATGATTTCCGCTTCCATAATTACTTACTGTAGTGTTTGACAATTGTAATAAATTGAATTTAAAATACCTGCTGCATCATTAATTGAAGAGAGCCTGTTAATGTTCCTCACACTTCCAATCACAGCTGCTGAGCACGCAGCATAAGGGGCATTAGTATCTACGTAAACCACTCCATGTGAGACAAGCATGTACAGGCATTTACGCATGTTGCTAGCAATAACTCAAACAGCTTGAAGCACTTTACAGTTCGCCCAGGGTGGAGAGGGAAAGTCATAATTAGTATTATATTTTAATAGCAGTTCTCCTCATGTTTAACAGAGCGACACACAGAGGATGACGAGGAAAAATGTTGATTGAAGATTATCGAGTTGATCTAATCTGTTGTCAGAGGACGCAACTGATTGAGTTAATTTAGCTCTTTAGTTTTTCACTCACCTAAGCAAGACTTAAATTCTTGAGATGGGAGGAAGCAGAAGAGAACCTGTACCCTCGTCGTGTTCACATCATTCGTACAAAATGTTGCTCATTAAAAGCTTTGGCTTCTGTGTTTTATCAAGAAATTGAGAAAGAAAAACCCTATAGTCTTTCCAAGCCGTCTGAAATGTGACTGGTCTAGATGTCGTAGCCTTCGGTTTTGCGGTGAGCGAGGCCTGAGAATAAGGCGATAAGGGCAAAACTAGGAGTGTAACTGCTGTAACCTCAACTATTATCGTGTTCAAGCTGCACCTTTTCCTTCCACCTTATTAAAATCGCCCCTCTCACCGTCCTGGAAGACTCTCTCCACATTCAGGCCATAGGTGGAGCAGGTCTCATAGTATGTGCAGCGCTTCAGGTCGTTTGACAACTTTCTGGCCCGCGAGTCATCGATCACTCTGGGGTTGGCAGCACTGATTGCATCTAAGAGAACAGGGTAAGAATAGAAAAGATATTACAATATTTCATTTGAAGGATAAGGAGGGAGATATTTCTGTTAGTGTCAACAAAGTCTATGGAAAGAGCAAATCCAACAGGGTGTTAGGTCATCTATTGGTACCTTAAGATTGTCCTACACTATCTGTGGGTCTCAGCCTGAAGCACATTCATCCCTAATGGAGATGTGAATCTTGGGTCACAATTATATGCTATGGGACTATTTTCAGCTATGGATTAATACACATGGATGGTGTATTGGATCTAATCAAGATAAACTACAGTGCCCATGTTCACTGTAATAAAGGAACATGTCACCCAGTGCAAACGTTGGCCACACTTTTGTGTTTTTAAGTTTAGTTTTGGTCGAATATGAAGTTCTACTGCTCACAGAAAAAGGCTAGAGAATATCAGGCTTTGGCTTCACAGATAACACTTGTTAGTTGGATCAATTCATTATTAGTTTTGGTCTTTTAATTGCATTCATAGACAATAGGAAAAATTTAGGATATGCCAGACTTATCCTTTAACATTAGCGCAAAGACAGTGTAAGAACATCCTTCCTGTGTAAAGAGTGTACTGCTCCATTATGGGGGAAACAATATCTTAAACGAAACATAAAAATATAAAAGGTGAAGGGCAAACACCTTGTGTTCCAACGAGGACCATGGGGACCTCAGCTGTGTTCCTGTAGCTGGAGAGGCGCAGAAAGTAATTGTAGACTGTCTGGAAGCTGATCTCATCCTCCAGGCTAAAGACGAAAACCACCGCATCCACCCAGGCAGCAAACTGAGGACAGAGCAGAGGAGGTACTGTGAAGTAAAACCTGCCTCATTACAACACAAGAACATTCACACGAATTAACAGTTTGCGTTAGAGCCACTGCTGCACTCAGCAATGTGGTTTGTGGCTGTACGAGCACGGTTTTGTGACATCACATCTAGTTTGTAGCCAATAAGCAAAGATTTATTGTGAAATGATATGAAACGCAAATTAATTTCAGTATTTTTATGTCTTAAAACATGTCCGTAAATCTCTTATGAATACCAGTTGCTCTAATAATTAAAAATAAGTATTGTTGTTGAAGACATTCACTACTGATTTTCATGTGATGCAGGCCATCTTTTAATGGAAGTTCATATATACAGACAGAGGGGGGCAGTGTAGCAACAGCTAAAGTACACTGAAAGTCTTGTTTTGAGGCATTGTACCAGTGCTACGTGGATTGACAGTGAATGATTAAACATTACAACTGAATCTCTATCTGTTTTCTGTATTCCCGCTGCTATCATAATCTTGGAGTCTTTGTATTTGCTGCGTCATGTACATTGATAATCTTTGCATACTTTATGATCAAATGGCAGAGAGAGGTTTCCCCTGAGCGGAGGAAATCAGCCCTAATCACCATCCATTGTATAAGAAAGAGGCTAAGCAGAACCCAGAGTAGTACTAACAGTGACAATCAAGTGATAACTATTCCCCGATGTTGCCCTCTTCTTTCATTCAGCTCTCACAACTCGCTCAGTACCCCATAGGGAATGAATGGGAAATCAAGCCTCCAAGTGGGGACTCTGCTCAGCCTCCTGCGAGTGGGAACATAATGGAGGCCTTTAATTATGCCACTAATTATACAGGCAGCTGACAACTGAGCCGAACTCATTCCCATTCCCTCACTGACCATAATGCAAGTGTAAGTCGGAGCTTTGCCAGGCCAGGTATCTGTAAGCTGCTCATAGAAAATGCATAATAAATTCACACCAGCTTCACATGTGAGAAGAAACATTGAATCTAGTGAATGAAGCCTCAAGCAAGTCTGTGTGTATTCTCTAGTGTTGTGAATCGTTACCGTTTTATTGAATCTGCTAATTAAATCCTTATCAAATCTATTTTGATATAGCTTTAAACAGCTTTAGGCTGTACTGAATTACTTTTTTAAGAGCTAAAACTCCAACAAAAGTGATGTTAAAAAATACTCAATACATTCTAATAGTCATGTTTTGCCACATATACTACATATTTGCTAGTTAGCAAGGGTAAAACAATTCTGAAATCAATACCGAAACCATGATAGTGTGTCAATGATTGAGCGATGTATAGCAATATCGGAAGATGAAACATGGTTGAAAAATCAAGGTTCGAACCGTGGATTTGGAGAATCATTACACCCCTACTAGTTAGCGAAATAAAGGAATGTGATATACATTGTTCTTTGATAATAAAAAATTGGGAAAAGATAAAAGACTCTCGAACAAGTTATGATATGGCAAACTTGTTAGCAAGCAGTTGCTTATTTACACATATGATAAAGAACATATAGCATTCATTTGGATCCCTGTTTCTGACCACCTGACAAAAGTCCAATATTCAGACTCCATTTAGCGCTTTCACCAGAGTTTGCTGAAAACAGCTGTCTGCTGCGTCTAAATTAATGAACTGTAAAATCAGAACAATGCGCTAAAAGATGCTAAAATACATGGAGCTGAGGGGGAACTGTAGAGTTCAGAGATACTCGTGTGGGTTTGTCACTACGAGTACCGATGTTCACATAACACGTAGTAATTTTGTCCATTGTTAATATAAAAATTTGGATTTTAGCAGCTTTAAGTGCAATTTTGAGATACTTGTGCTTTACTAGGATATTTCCTATTTCATACTACTTTCTCTACTCTCGCCACATTTGAGAGGATAATATTGTATTTTTTCCTCCACACATTAGTATACAGTGAGATAATCCAGATACTGTGTAACCATGCAAAAGCAAATGTTAGAATAAATCCATCTCATTCTCTTTTGGGCTTCCCGAAAGCCCAGGCGGGTAAAGTATCATCAAACACAGACACCCAGAGGTAACTCCATTAAAGTCCTGTCAGATCTGTAAGCGGGAGGTAAGACCCATGGTTCAAGCATAACTGAGTATGAGAGTCTGATGGCTGCTCTGTCATTAAACAAGGCTGGATTACCGGGAAGCCCTTCATCAATTTACCCCCTTTGAAAAAGCATAAAACAGTGTCACATCGCATGATCAATACCAATATGTTCTCTTATGAAGACTTAGTAAAAACCCACTCTGGATGAATCACTGGCTCCATTACTCTTCATATTTCACATACTAATAGAACAATTAGGTGCTGCATTGTCTCTTTGACCACAAAAATGATTTTGGCTCGGCTTACTCATTGATCTGTTGCTGCCCCTTAAGTGCTTTTGGTAGAGCAACCACAGAGTGCTGTCACACTGCTCCAGTCACAGTCCTGCAGTGAAGTAATAGCCAGTCTCTGAACAGTTCCCGTCTGAATGACAGTTTGCAGACAGTCTCTGTTTGACACATCTCGCAACTTTGGAGAAAAGAGACATTTTTTTTCCAGATTGACACTCTTACCTGCAACTCTGGAGGCCCTCCTTCATCTCTGATCAGGAGAAGGTAGCTCTGTCCATCCACAACAATTTCTTTCTTGAACCGTCCACCTGAGGAAGAGACATTTATTTCAAGAGTTTATTCCAAGGTCATTCTGAATCGAGTCTGGCCTAGTTGCTAGCACAAAAATAATGTCTTTCTTGAGATATGATAACTAACCAGCAGGGGTTTCTGAAGGAGAAAAAAGACTGCAGACACATTTCACACTCAGTAAAAACAATGATAATGCACCAAATAAACCAAAATTCAATATAAAAACACAGCTTGACATGGCTCATAAAAGTTTGTTGAGATGTGTACGGGTTTAAGTGCAGCTTCTCAATTTAGGCCGCCTAGAATGTGTTGCTGTTACAATCACATGCCAACAGGAAACCTGGTCTCTCTGGAGCCAATTATGTGGGCGAGAAATTGCCATTTAGCATGTCTAATGCACAGCTGCTGAGGGAACCAGTTCAGTGCCACCGTCACTGCAACCGCCACAAGTCCTGGAAAGACCCGACTTTCACTTCATTATCCGGCTGCGTACTCGCTCTCCATCACTTCACCGTGAGCGCTTCTTGGTTGTGTTCGAAGATTTTCACAGTCCTAACAACATAACTCATTACACTTTGCTATGAAATGATAAGACTAATGGAGTAAGTTTAACGCTGAGACTAAAAGAGAGGGAAGGAAACGATGGGAGATAATATCAGAGGCAAAAAAAAAAAAAAAAAAAATTCTGAACTGGTGTGCCTCAGGTCATGGCCACAGGATAGTAGTGAGAAGTTAACATTTAGCGGGGGCTAAGTTTTATGTAGCCTTGAGTTTCTCTCCCCTTTTCTTCATTTCCTTTCTAATACAAATTCATATTCCTTGCCGCTGGCGAAGCTGGCTGCAGATAAAGAAGAAACCAATGGGAGAACAACGCAATAAATTAGATTTTGCATATCATTTGAGTGGTTTGCGATTCTTTGGAGATTAAAAACATTCAAATGAGAAAGCTGTAAGGCTAGAGATGTCCCTGGGAGTGAAAACAGTGCTTTATGAATTCAAAAATATGCTGAAAGCAATTTGACAAAATTGAATAACGCATAAACTTAAAGGCCTAGGAATGATCGTGAAATGTATGGAAAAAAAAAAAAAAGAAGAGCGTGCCAAAGACAGTGGATATGCAGGCCAAATAAGATTACACCTGTTACACTTTTCCAGGAATTTCATAAGCAGGCATGTTAGCAAAGATTTTCCTATGATTAGATAATAAAGTGTCAGAGACCTCGCTGTTCAACCAGCATATTAATAACTACACATCTCACATCACAGAGGAGGAGGTGCAGGGACAGTACAGTAGCCAGGCCCTGTAATTTTTAAAAGGCGGAAAGTATTCCTGTCTCAGAAAGCAATACATATCCACTTGAGCCACACTTCCACCCTGTTAAGTCCACTTTAGCCCGCTTGGCAAATAGAGGACTCTCCCAGCCTTTTGCACAGGCTCTCAAGCCCTGGTGGATGCTGGTTGTGTAACACAGAGAGAGAGAGAGAGAGAGAGAGAGAGATTCATGTATCACCAGCCAGCTTTTTTTTTCTTTTACTGAACTCACAGAGCTTTGGAGATTCTAACAAAGGACTGAGAAACTATGTGTCTGTGCGTCTCTGAATCCTGCTTAAAAAGGGAAGGGGGGGGGGGGGGAGGAGGATCTCATTACACACTGTGAGAGAGTGGATCAGAACGATAAAGAAAACCAAAGATTTATCAGAATACGGAGTTTGTATGGAAGCTGGCAGCATGTACATACGCCAGAACTGATTATGGAGAGACTCTCTAAAACTAGCATCTGCAATAAGAGCATACGGCTGCAGTGAAAACATGCAAGGAATTTGAACTAAACATTTCAGTTACATAATCATCCAGGATGCTGTTGTCTCCAGTTAGAGCCGAGCCAATGCAATACATGTAAAAAGAGAGCCGGTGCTGAGAATAAATGAAGCAGACTACCACACTCTTCTCTTTCTTTGGCATGACAGAAAGTAAGTATGAATTTTTTAAATGTGTTGTTCAACCTCACATGAAAGGACGTGACTAATAACCCTGCAGACAGCCTACGGAGAGACGGTAAGTTGGTAGGCATGGTTAACACGCAGTAAGCATACTCTGCTTACAAGGAGGCTTAGACCTTGACACAGAGCCACAATCCAACAGAGCTCCATCCGGTGTTGCCATGGCAACACAGCCCAGTACCTTTTTTCAGATATCATAGCAAAAGCCCAGGAACAAAACACTGAAGAAACAGCCACAGCTGAACCTTCCTCTGCCGGGCAATGCCTCTGCAATGTAAATACCCAATCTGGAGTAAGGCCAGTGTTAAAGCACATACAACAGGAGAGCCTGAGCAGCTGCCAATCATGAGACGCACACAACGCGCGGCAATGTAAAAGGGACACAGGCACATATCTGAGCTGACATGTTTCCCTGATTACAGCAACAACACTCGTTCTGTTTTTCCAGCATTTCCACCATTGATTTCTCAAGGACTAATTAAGCTATGAGGATTTTTCTCCCTTGGTGCAGCAAAATGCCAGAAACTAATTATGCGCTTCATGTCTCATCCTCACTATAATTACACTAAAATGAAACACTGCAAACCCCTCAAAGATCATCAGTTAACTCTGGGTTTGCCAACAACTTTATGGATGTCTGAGAGGAGGACTTACCTTTCAGGCCAGAAGGGGGCATTCTCATTATGATCTCGCTGATAAACTGAAGGATATCAGATTTTCAAATTTGAGCGAGTGAATTAAACTGGCAGGGGGTCCGTCTCTGGAGATAGGACCTCTTAAACACGTTCAACTGGCTCGGGACATCCAGGAAGTAAACGGTTTACGACTGTGATAAAAACTTTCCCAGAGAACAGAGTTTAGATTTACCTTCATGTTTTAACAATGAATAATCTTCACAGCTCTAATTTACTGGAAATGTCACGCTTTGTTATTATCTCACCAGTTTTAGCGGAGGAATTAAAAAGGAGATTTTTAAACTCAACCGAACCAATTATTAATCTTGGCATCCTGAAGCTTGACACGACCCGACACACAACATTTCGATATGAACTAATTAGAAAAATACTCACGAGGCAAACCAGCGCCATGCTTCATGTAAATATCCTAATACACCCATCCTAATACAGCTATCCCTCTGTAAAGCGCAGCAATCAGTGCCAACATGCTTGACTTTCTTCTTGTGAAAAACAAGAGAAAACTAATTTAGCAGCCAGCAGGTTTCTGCATAATTACACTTTGATGCTTTTGAGAAGCATCATCAAGCTAATAACAAGGCTACTCCTCATTTGCAAGTTAGTTTTCGCTCTCCAGCAACAATGTGTTTTATATAACAAGTTGTGAGGTGAATCAGCAGCGTGACATTAGGCTACAGGACACACAGTACACATGCCACATTAATCCGAACCTTCGTGTCTGAGTATCTGACATGTTTATAGTGACCTCCAACGGACTCTTACCTTCAGGAGACTCCTCCTGCACATATGTGCCTGTCAAGTACCGGTGAACCAAGGCAGACTTCCCACTGGACAGATTTCCCACGATGCCCTGCAAGGCCAAGAACAAAGTGCAGTGATTATTACTGACAGGTACAAACCACTAGAGTATGTGGTAAAAGACCATAATGGTGACATAACAAAAAAAAAACTTCTCAACACAAGATATTTCTGAGGCTTTCAATTTGAGTAATGCCACAAAATGTGTCTTACAGGTTCAGAAATACAAAGTAAGTGGACTTTTCTTTTTCTTCCTTTTTTGGTCAAAATGCTCTTTTCCTTTTCCTCAGGTCAAGGGTGAACCTTTAAGATCAATCATAATGGTGGTTCCACAGGTTTTAGCCCATTATTTGCAAAATGCATTTATTTTTTTATCACAGCCAACAACAAAACATTGCATCAGGAGTTATATGATCGGAAATAAAGCCATTTTCTTATGGACAGGGTGAAAAGAATGACAGAAATCTGCTAGTTTCTTTGATAGTTTCTTTCATTCAAAAGAATGTACTGAATGCACCACCAAGGAAAGGCAGCATTATGATTAGAGCCCGACTGACAAATCAAAGGCTGAGGCATTAGTTTATGAAAGGCCTGTCACAATATCAGATTTTCCCTTCACAATTATTATAGCCAAAAGAATTTATGATAACAATATTATTGTGGTATATATAGAAAACTTGAAATAAACACATAGATAATGCTATCTGTCAAATTCATCTTTAACTTTGTTTATTGTGTGTTTTGTCTCTTTTTTGGCAAATGATTTAGACTCAAATACAAGTGTAGGGAGATGGAGAGAGAGTCTGTAACAATGACTGTACAAAAGTGCACAAAAAGAGCAATTACACTTAATGCAAAGTGAAAATGCAACCACATGAACTGATAAACAAAAGACCCACCATGCCTAACATGTGCCGTCACGATATTATCATATATGTATTATTAACACAATATCAATACTTCATTTTTTAAATATCACGGTCAATACTGCAACTGACCCTTAAAAGAGTCTAGGTAACAAGTAGCTGTACAAAGATGAAATGTTAAATGTATTTTGAAACCAATAAACCAACAACCCCCCCCCCCCCCCCCAAAAAAAAAAAACGGCTTGGTCCTTCATGCAGGCTGCGTGAGGTTGAAACATTATGGAGGAAAGTCCTCTAGCATTCATTGGTTTGGTTGCAATCTTTCCCCTGCTTCCTGTCCCTGGTGTCTAGACCAGGCCTAACTACAGCGCCTTCAGGGTGATGCATGGCGGAGGGTGGGCTGATGATGCCTGCATGTCTGGGAAGAACAAAGGCTGCAACATGCCTCATCTCCTCCCTCACCTCCTCCTCCTCCTCCTCCTCCTCCTCTACCCATCGCCCTCTTCTTCTTCAGATCATTAGTGGGTGTTAAAGTCAGGTATGGTTCTAATTATAGGGAAGTTTGAGGCACAAGAGAAAAGATCTGTTGAAGGTCTTTCCAAGCCTGTCCACTCTGTAATTGAAGTATATATATCAGGAGGTACCCCGGCAGAATAAACTATGAATAAGCTTTAAGTTAGCAGAAGTTGTAGGCTGTGTGAGGTGAAAGCTATGAGTCAACAGAAATCGACTTTGAACGTACCACAGCCCCAGCGTTCCTGCTGCTTTAACTGCTCAGCTTTGTGACCTGCTGGTATATAGGCTTCATGAAATCAAATTGCCGTATCAGCACTATCCTATTTTACTCCTCTTTGCAGATGTTTAGCCCTGATCTGGAAATATTAAAGAGCGTGGGTTCGATTATCAAAGGGTGACAATAAAACAAGGCTTGACCACAGTTAAGCTGCCATCAGGAAACTACAATAGCAGGGTGCAGCTCACAGTGGTAGCGGATGTTTCAGAGGTATTCTCACGCGATTATGATCATCATTTCAACTAATCTGCAGGAAATGTTTTGACCCCAGTTCCGATCATAATCACTGCGGCATGAAAGAGAAGGAACTGACGTTGCCATCATATTGAAAAGCTTCCCAAACATATGACCAGCTTCTTTTCAGTATGACCTTGTCACTCAACAGTAAGTCTGTGAATATTGTGTAAGGAATGATCGCTATTTTGCAACACTTAATTCAGCCTTTCCAGGTCCATTTAACAAACCCCTGTGTGGAGGCTGCCAATTAACACCTTAGAAGTATAAAAGGAAACAGACGCATTTAAAGTGCTTGAAGAGAAAAAAAAAAAAAGGCAAGTTTGTTTTTTGAGCTCCCTGTGAATCCCCCCCCCCGTTTGTTCCATTGAAGATTTTATCATTTGCAAGGTGCTACAACAATGAATTCCCCTCACATGCAAATATGATGTCGACTGGCAGGATGGTGGAGTGGAGTTTTTCAAGGTTGCTTGTCTTTATGGGTGGAAGACATTAAATCATGTGAGGATGTTAGCTGGGCATTTGGCAGTGGCTGTGTGTGTGTGTGTGTGTGTGTGTGCTCCAGTGGCAGTGTGGGATCAGACCCAGGACGTGTCACGAGTCTAGCCCAAAACTGTCACTCAACTCGTGTCCTGCTGCAAACCACCCTGCAATCTCCATGCCAACGCATCTCATTAAAAATCACCCACTACGAGCCAGGGAAAAGTTCAGCCAATTTCTCAACTGTTCTCCCTCTCTCTTGTGTAAAATGCAAAAAGCAGTGTGACATGGACAGAACATGCTCTCCCACTGACATTTAAATCGATCAGTGAGATGAAGCCTCTGAGGGCGAATCGACAGAGGGGCTGGTAGAAAAATTTTTATTTATTTTTTTTTTAAAGTTACTCACCACTTTCAGCTCTGGCACTGACCGACTCAATGTCCATTCCTGGCTGTTGACGAAAGAGTCTAAAAAGGAAAAGGGCAAAAAAAGAAATGAAGTCAAGCAGCAGTGAAAGCTAACCCATGCGTTTGTGTCCCGTTTGACCCCAGCTACAGATAATATGGCATTAACAGTATTTCCCGCTGGATGATGGCAAAGTGTCTTTACAGCTGTAGTGTATAGACTGCCTGCGCTGTGTGCAACAAGTTTAATGATGGACTGTTCAGCTGTCAAAAAGATATGACGGAATAGATAAGTGTACCCACAGTCTGCTCGGGTATCTAGTGCATTTTAAATGATTGGGGGGTTGATTTTTGTCACAGAATGCTCAGTGTCATTTCACCTAGTTTTTGTCCTGCACACAAACGCAAGTTAACCAGTATCTTTATGGACTGAAGTGTAGATTTGCAGTCATTTGCAAAACCAGGCTTATTTAAGTCAAAGGGTAAAATGGTTAGGAAGACAGAGACTTTGAATCTGGCAAACCTCGACTTTTATTTCTGCCATGACGGATTCTCTGTTCCATGAGAAGCCATTTTTATATTCATATTTTTCTTTGCACATTATTCCCCCTGAAGATCAGTGTGAACAGAAGCCAAAACAGCTGAACACATTAGTGCTGTACTGATTAGCCAATTCATCCATCAACAGAAAATTAATCTGCAACAATTTTAATAATAAATTAATTATTAGAGTCATTCTTTGAGAACCTAAACAGGTTTCCACTTGTGAAATGGGAATATTGGATGGTTTTCTTACAGTATATTGAATAACTATGGGTTTGAGCTTTTGCTCAGACACAACAAGCAATTTTAATAAGCCAAAATATTCGGAACTCATTTGGCTTTTGGAACATTTTATCTGACATTTTTATCAATAAAATGATTAAGAGAGAAAATATTCTGCAGACGAATTAACAATGAAATCAATCATTGGCTGTAGACCTAAAGCATATTCAAAGAAACAACCAGTCCATACAGATTTCTCTATCTCCCCAACTAATTTGCTCAGGTCTAATTTTGTTTGTGTCTTTACAACTTTACAACTAAAACACACAGCTGCCAAGAGGCAGCTGTGAGACACCTCTGGTAAGTACAATCTATACAGGCCTTGTCAATATAAGGTTTCTACACAGTGCAATTTCTGAAGGGGATTAAGCAAATCCATTTTAAAAAGGCAGCTATGAACGGGCTTGATTCAACTTGTTTGGTTTTCCAGTGACATTTGGAGACTTTGACTAGATCGTAATGCTTTGAAAAAGGGCAGCGGGAAAGAGCACTATAAAGAACAATACAAAACCCTGAGAAGTAAAAACACAAATGACAACTCCACAAGCTGTGCCTGTTTCCCACTGAGCCAGAATACACAGTTATGTGTCATAACAACTATTAGAACGAAAGCCACCTTCCTGTTTTGGATCATGCCCCCCCCCCCCCCAACAAGAAGATAACATCTCTAATATGGGAGTGTAGACTTCCTGTCTCCAGACGACAAGGTGTGCAAAACCAACCCCTCCCCATGTCTAAACCATAACAATTAAATTGTTCATCCACCAAACAGGGAGTCATTATAACTGTAAGCCTGTTTGTTGCAGTAATAGTGGTTTCCCTTTGTGCCCCAGGTGATGCTAGTGTGAAAAGAATGACAGCATAAACAGTAAGGTAACCACTGTCACTATAAGACATGTTTCTATTTTCTCTCCAAAATGTATGCTAAAAGCACATATGACTAATAACTGAGCAGACCTGAGCCGAAAAAAAAAAAAACCTTTACATACTACAATTATAGTAAGTAAAAAGAAACCCTCGGCTAAAATGTTTACTTATCTCTGACCTCCATTTACAAAGAGCCTTGTGCTGCTCTGGATGCTTCACTTGTTGTGGGAGAGGAGAGGAGTGAATCCCAAACAGAAGGGCCTTTCACCAAGCATTGTGTGGGGCAGAGTAGTCTTTAAACAGCACGCCCCATGTTAAGCCCTCTCAGTGTGGGTTTGACATGTCGGGACACGAGCGAGGACACCCATCTGACTCAGTTTTTAAGTGCAGGAAACCGAGTGCAGGTCACAGCGCTCTGAGATGATACCAGACGAGGCTGTTGTCTCATCTCCTTGGATATCCTGTCATTTTCTACACTGCCGTTATTTCCATGTGTGTGTTCATCTGCTTTATATGATGATTTTCATTTAAATTATGTCTTTTTTTTTTTTCTTTTTTTTTTTTACATAATTGGAGGGTGGATAAAAATGTAACACTCACTAGCAATTAGACAAACACATTGAAAGGTTCCGGTCTTTAGCACTTGCTGTGGTAAACCCAACATTAACACAGAGTCAATGAACAGAGAAATTAAACAGAAACAACAAAAAGTCATATTTAGAAAATAAACAGGAAAAAAAAAAAAAAGCAGCCAGATGCCCTGATGTTTTTCTCACATTTGCCTAGTTCACATAATCAGACTTTTCAAAGAGGGACACATTCAAACAAAGGGCCAATCCCAATCCATAGATAACCATGCAGGGAAATTACATGTCATCAAATGCCAACACAGAAATTTAGTTTTTTTGGCTGCAGCTGACAAGCGCTGCATCTCTGGTACAGCATATTTTTAAACTAAATTGGCCCTGACCTAACACACAGACACACACACACACATGCTTTTTTTTCCAACATTAAAAATCTTTTTAGGAAATCATCATTTTCCTCTCACAAACAAACCCTTAACAAACTGTCACACGGGAAACAAGACCAACTTTTGCCATCCTTGGAGCAGCTACAGAACAACCAGTTTGGTCGCCTGCTAAAAAGAAAAAAGAAAATAAAAGAAAAAAAAAAAAAAAAAAAAAAAAAAAAAAAAAAAAAAGCCCAAATTGAATCCATGTGCTCTGTGTTACGTCATTCTTTAAATATGAGCATCCCCACTTCACTGTGTCCCAGAATGCCTGTGGAAACATAAAGACCCAGCATTTGTGATTCTTTCAGAGGACACCGGTGTCTTTGTCTCTGCGAGGGCAAAACTGTGTTGTTAGCTTGTTTGTCAGGTTTTTCACTTCACTGCTCATGTCCACTCGGATAAAAATGACCATTCAGTCTGAGGTTAGCGAAGCACAATCACTCAAGCCCCCACTCCCCCTCCCCCAATCCTCTCCCACTTATTCCGTTTCATGAGGAGCAAAAAAAAAAGAAAAAAAAAAGCAATGTGAGCAGAAACCCTGTGTGCATATGGTTATTTGAGTGTGGGTGCATGCGGGCACATGCATGGATTTCTATGTGCAGTGAATCTGAAGTGGTTTTTGGAATGAGGGAGGAAAAACCTTGAAGTTGAAACTTCCACTCTAGCTCTGACTGACTTTCCAACCCTGCTTTCCCACCATCATAAATTACAGTGCGTGAATTTAGCTACCAATTAGTAATTCTACTTCCCTGATTTGGCAACCTCATGACCAACCAACAGTCCCTGTCCGACTACTTTTATCGTGCGCGTCTTGACAAAATGGTCCAGTAGCATCTTCCTTTTATGTGCTGATCTACAAAGCCATATTCACAGCGAACAACCCAGCAAGAGCTTGTGTCTTTGTTCTGCTGAGCTCCCAAACACCACTCTGTTATTTCTATCAAGAGGAGCTAAGTCAGAAAGACGATCAGCAGAGAAAAAGGTAAAAAATATTCATGCCATGCCAGGGTAATGCGGTCTGCATGGCCTGCCCTACTTAGAGCTCTTAAAGCAGTGTGTTGTCTGCAGACAAGCATTGATCACTTCCCTGGAAATAAATTGAACATCCTGGTTCAAGCAGGATTCCCTTTTAAACATGAGCTCTGTAAATTGGGTTTTCAAGAAGTCTTGCAGAACATTACCCAGGTTGATTGACTCAATTTGTAGAGCTAGGAGAGGAATGTGTCAGACTTAGCTAATCTTTTTTTTTTTCCTTTTTATTTTTTTGCTACACAAAACAATCCAAGAGAACAAACTGATGGAAACAATCAACCATGAATTAGAGAGAGAAGCTGCGTGCACCTACAAATTGTGGACCCTCTACTCAGACCCCCAACGAATTCAACAGTTTGTAGACTTGTTGCTAAAAGCTAAGAGTTTCTAGACGGGAGAACAGCAGGATGCTGCTCACCTACTGAACCACAATCCTGAAGAACAAAATGTACCCGAGAGGAGATTTGCGGTGGCAGATGCTCAAATACAAATTATATTCGGATATTAACAGATTTCTCTCCGCTCATGCCCAGACTGTGTATCACACAGTACAATATCTCACTGTCTCCTCGTGTCTCCTGCAGCAGGTGAGAGGGCATTATCACAGTGTCACTGTTTGTCCAAATTTTCTTGAAAGTGTCTGTTTATCTTGAACGTGATTACATGCTGGGAGTTTGGCTCACCCACCCCTGCTGCTATGAAACACACAAACAAATGCATCTCTCAAATTAATTCCCAATCTGCAGATTTTGAGGCCGCCAGACTGATTCCAACTGCAAGGTAAAGTTGACACAGGAAATGCTGTTGGCAGGGATCCACAGGAAATGGTATCAAATGAGACGTAGCAAAAAAAAAAAAGAAAAAAGAAAGAAGAAGCATAGGGAATTCATGAATAAATTTTATAATCTGATTCAAGATAAAGGAGGATGGATCACACACATGGGGGATTTTCTTCAAATTGTCATAATGGCAAGTTAGGGCAAGTCAGAATAAATATACATCAGCGAGAATTCTTCTATCTGCCTGATCCAGTTGACACCCTACAATGAGGCTTATCACAGAGCTCTATCCACAGCCCCGTTTCCACCATTTCAACCCTCACTAGATAAGTGCACTGCTGACCACCTATAACTCATGACTAGTGACCCTTCCTCAAACTCAAAGACCCCCAGAGAGCCCCCCCCCACCGTCACAGCACACAGCCCACTGATCACTCATGCATCCACGGGCACGACAGGGTGGCTTTGTTCATCCACAGGTGGGGGTGGGGGACACAGTGCGTACCTCAAACCCCTCATCCTGTTACCTCCCCCCCAATCCTCAC